AACCCTAACCCTAACCCTAACCCTAACCCTAACCCTAACCCTAACCCTAACCCTAACCCTAACCCTAACCCTAACCCTAACCCTAACCCTAACCCACCGCACACACGGCGTCCAGCGAGACTCACCCTCAATACCATGACGTCCCTCTCATAAAAGTGCCCGAACCTAGCGTTTGCGCTGACGTCTGTTCCGCGCGAGCGCACAAGCAAGGTCCAAGGACGGCTGCGTTCAGTGACATTGGCGTTCAAGAACTTCCTCGGCATCATGTGAGTAATCACGGATGCACACCTCTTGCTCGATGCGCGCACGCGTGTGCCCGACGGCTACTTTGTGGTGTGCATGCCCGCGGCTATTTTTGCGCGCGCGCGCGCGCGCGCGCAGTACCTGTAAGTGATCCGAGGCTCATCACCCAAGCAGTGGAAGCATGGACTTGCGCATTCGTTTCGCACAGCGGAAGGCTACCAAGAGTGGTATATGAAGGAAGGTCTGAATGACAAAAAGCTGAGATCGCATCTGTGGGCAGGCACAGCGCACATGATTCTGCGCCTACATCGTACCCCTCCCTCTTCAACACGCAAAAAAAAATGTCTGCTTCTCTTCCCAACGACCTCTCATCAACTTTCAGCTGGAGTGGACTACACTTTCAGGCGCCAAAATCTTTCAGAGACCGGCTTTCCTGGAGACCTCGCTCGAAGCCAAAGACTCTGCTGGACAACATCCATGGCAGCATCATCTGCGGTCAGATGCTAGCCATCATGGGTCCGAGTGGCGCCGGGAAAAGCACCTTGCTTGACGCTCTCGCTGGTCGTGTGACCCTGTCAGAGGGCAAAGTTGGGTGGTCACAGCCTACGCCCTCAAGCACCAAGCAGGAAGCGCCGCCGTTGCTCGACATTGGCATTCTGAGCAGCTATGTCGAGCAGCACGATACGTTGCTCGGCGTGCTCACCGTCCGTGAGACGCTGTACTACTCGGCGAAGCTGAGCATGGATATGGACACGTCGGAATCCGAAGTGGATAGGCGTGTAGAGACCGTGCTGAGCGGCTTGGGTTTGGCCAGCGTGGCCGATAATCAGATTGGAACTCCGATCAAGCGTGGTATCAGCGGCGGTCAAAAGCGCCGCGTGACCATAGGATGCTCGCTCGTCGCCATGCCCCGCATCCTCTTTCTAGATGAGCCCACGTCGGGTCTGGACATCCAAAGCGCGCACCAAGTCATGACGAGCATCGCCGGTTTTGCTCGACGCTACAACATTGCTGTCTGCGCGACGATCCACAGCCCAAATCGCGACATTTTTCGCCTCTTTGGCAGCGTCATGCTCTTGGCAAGAGGACGTACCATGTACTATGGTCCTACAAAGCACGTAGAGTCGTACTTTGCCGAGATAGGCGAAGCATGCCCGACTCAAACGAACCCGGCCGACCATATGCTACGAATCGTCAGCGACGAGTCGTACGCTGTCACGACGTCCGCGGATGATTTGGAGAAGCAGCTCCGCCGCTCTGGTGCTCGAGGTGACGTTGCGCAGCTGAGCGCGCTCTGGCAGGCGCGCGTTCAGAAGCAAGACGGACAAACATTCGTCGAGCATGTCAATGCGGCTCGTGCGTCGCCTTCGCCTGCTGAGCGGACAGATGACATTTTGCTCTCGCCGACTCGACCTGACCACTCACTCCTCCACCTTGCTCGACTTCTCGCATTTGCGACGTGGATCCTGACGAAACGCAATCTACTCAACTACCGTCGCAATCTGCTTGCATACGGGGTGCGTTTCGCCATGTACCTCGGCATGGGCGTACTGCTAGCCACTGTCTGGGTCGATTTGGCAAAGACCGATACACGCATCAATGATCGCCTTTCGGTGCACTTCTTCTCCGTTGCCTTTCTCGGCTTCATGAGTGTCGCCGGTATCCCATCCTTCCTCGAAGAGCGTGGCGTAATGTGCCGCGAGCGCGCCAATGGCCTGTATGGGCCCGCACCATTTACCCTCGCCAATACTTTGGTCACGATGCCCTTCTTGTTCGCCTGCGCCTTGGTATTTGCAGTCATCATGTACTGGTCCATCGGCTTGCACGATGGCGCCGTACCTTTCTTGCGCTGGCTCTCGTTCCTGTACCTTGGCGTCTTGGCCGCAGAGATGCAATCTTTGCTGGTGGCAGCTCTCCTCCCCATTTTTGTCGCCGCTTTGGCCATAGCTGCCTTTTTGAATGGATTTTGGATGACCACCCAAGGCTACTTTATTCGCACGGACAATCTACCCCGCTTTTGGTACTACTGGGCCCACTTTATCAACTACGAGACGTACGCGCTGGCGCTGCTGGCGCGCACCGACCTTGCAGGTCTCACGTTCACCTGCGCGACACCAGGTCAATGCTTGTTCCCCTCGAGTTCGCAGCATCCCGACGCAGTTGCAGGAGAGACGGTCGTATCAGTGCTGCAGTTCAATACACTTTCAATCGGCGAACAAGCGGCAATTCTTCTCTGCATCATCGTCGTCTACCGCATCTTGTTTTACATCGCGTTGCGTTTTACGAGGGCATGAGGAGGCTAACATTGCGGTGCTCGTGCAAAGAGCGTCATCTGCCTAGCAAGCTATCAACTGCGACACTGCAAATAAAAGCAGAGTCAGGTATGTGGAAGTCACGCAATCGACCCGCATTCCATGTAGCTCCATTCTTGCCTCTTGTCTACTTACAGATTCGAATCTCCATGAGCAGATTTAGGGATGACATGGCCGCATCGCGACCACAAAAGTGGTCCCGATGACAAGGCCATGTGCAAGAGCATTGTATGTGTAATGATAATTGTCAAAAAGAAAGCTGGCTTCATCGCCACAACGAATCGTGAATGAGCATGTCCAAAAGGTATAGCGGTCAGACGAAAAAGTTGACTCCGTGGATCAGTCCGCAAGTACCGTTGCCCGTCACTCGCTATATGGTCTCGCTTCGCCATGTCGAGCTGCTGTACATTCACAATTGTCCTGCGACGACGGATTTTGGGCAACAAGGTCCCAACGCGATACCGAGATCGAGCGAATCGATGCGCGCGAAAGTGCGACGCAAAGCACCGCTCTCATCGCGATTTTGACGCCATCCGGAAAGCGTGTCCCGAGGACTTTTGGACGCCACTCGAGGAGCGACGATTAGCGTCGTCGAGCTGTCTCTTTACCTTGGCACAGACCGAAAGTGTCGAGTCAGCAGCGGCGGATTCGCAGAATAAAATGGCGCGACCTTCGCGGTGACCTCTTGCAGCTTCCTTCAAGGCTATCCCTCGCCACCGCAACGTCTACAAGAAGCGCGCTCTCGAGCTCAATTCGACGCTCATCATCCGTCACCCCTCACAGCTCGCATCACGCTCCACGCAGCAAGCTTTCCAACTCGAAGCGCTACGCAAGGTGAGTCCGTCTGCCTGCCCTCGTCGCGCTCACCGTCCCGTCGCTTAGACTGTAATACTCGCGACAGATGTACGCCTTGAAGCTCTTTGCTCTCGCTACCATTCTTTGCATCTCGCAGATTGTCACCGGAGCATCTGCGGATGTCACCCCGAATCCCACTGCTGCTCTAAAGGCTCCCAGCTACTTGCTTGACCGTGGGGCTATTGGAGTGCTCGATTGTCCCTCGTGCTGCATTGAGGGGGGCTGTGAAGGAGGCACCGAATGTCACTGCGGCGAGCGCTTAGTGGGAAGGGATGTCACCCCTAACCCCACCGCTACTCTAAAGGGAGCCGGCTACTTGCTTCGCCGTGCGGCTGTCGGAACGCCCGACTGTCCTTATTGCTGCATTGAAGAGGGCTGCGGAGCAGGCATCGCATGTCACTGCGACGAGTAGGTTCGCGGGCACAAGCTGACGTGAGTTTGCTCTGCGCATGCGATGGCTGTTCGCAAGCGTGTCTGACTGTATTCTCCTTCTTCATCTCCGCCCGGGCCATCTTCACCTCGCAAAGGTTTGGCAGCTGCTGCACGCATCTTCCTCGAGCCGCTCTCGTAAGAATGCCCGCTACGTCTGTTGCAGACTTGTTGCGACTCGCTGGCCACTTTTGCGTGTAAAATGGGCACCCCTGGCCCGTCGCACTCGCCACTGATTGAGCTCGCAATCTGGACGCTTGAATGAAAGGCACCTCGATACGCTCCTCCAGGAGAACCTTTGCGGTCAAGGGAGCCGCGGCGGTATAAGCGCGCGCGTGATTGCGATGACTGCATGCGAAGCGGGGGTAGAGTCGCGGGTGCGGGCTTGGAGCGACGAGGTCCTGACATAGCACGGCGCACTGCAAATTGACTCTTTGGGCGAATAAGTGTAGTCTCAGGCCTCGAGTCGCTCTCCGCGTCGGCGGGAGAACAAAGGTCCGAGCTGATTGGCAAAGCCAATAGATTGAAAAGCTCACGCGCGACGGAAAACCTCTTTGAAGCTGATGAGAGTGCAAGACGGGATTTGCGCGTGAGCGAGCGCCTGCTTGCGTGCCACATGAGAACGTCGGATTGCATAGATACAAGAGATGGCCCTTTTGCGCTCCCCACATCCCCGCCCCCCTCTCACACACACACACACACACACACACATCCTCCCTCTCAACACGAGATTCAAACAGTTCAAAGACTTTTACTCCCCTCCCGCAAGCTACATCGCAGTCGTCGTGAGTGATGCATTCAAGGCCGGCAGCATATCGAACGAACTCTCCCTTGCACTCACCGCGCGCGCGCGCGCTATCTCTCTCCCCTCCCCTCGCCGCAGATGCCCGCCTTGAAGCTCATCAGTCTCGCCATGCTCGTCATGGCTCTCTGCGCCGGTGCCATCGTTGCCGTCGTCGTAGGCACGCCAAACCCGGTGTCGCCGACGGAGCGGCGCATCTTGGGAAGAGATGCAGATGCAGGTGCAGGTGCAGGTGCAGGTGCGGCATCATCATCGGTAAGCACGCTCGCCGCCGCCTTTACACGACGCAAGGCAAAGGCACCCTTGATCGGTCCTCCAGGAAGCAAAGACTGCCCTTACTGCTGCGTGGTGGAGAAGGGCGGGGGCAGCGCCACTTGCCCAGGACCGTGCTCCTGCGAGTAGAGGCGAGCGAGCGCTATAGTTCCACTGCGTGAGTCCCCGGGCGTCATGTTCCGTCGTCGTCGTGATGAGAAAGCAATAGGGGCCTGATAAGCCAGCTGCGCTCTACATCGTGCAGCTATGAAAGGTGCAATAGCAATGTGTATGCACACGGCGCGCCAAAGCTCAGCTCGACGACGAGACATCCATCGAAAAAGTGCCCTCGGATCGCTGCTTGCGGGACGTCCCTCGCCTCAACGATGCGCTCGCTTCCCTCACCGATCTCGCAATCGCAATCGCAATCGGCCGTGCGTACCAGGTCAGCACGGCGCCATCATGACTTGCAAGAATCCCGAATACGATTGCATCCAAAAAGAAAAAAGAAAAAAAAAAAAAAAAAAATTTCGGCGCGCGCCAGGCCGCTCCACGCTCGTTCGCCACGGCTACGCGCGCCCCCCTCTGCTCATCTGCTCCAGCATCTTGACCGCCTCCTTCGCCCGGGGTCTGACCACCACGCCCGCTTTCGTTCTTCTCGCATCGTACACACCCTTCAAACGCGACACGCCCAGCGCGCGCCCTTGTTGCGCAGCAGCACGCCCGCCGCCGCCCGAGGGCTCGTCGTCGAAATGCACCTTGCCCACCACTCTACCACCCTCGACCGCATCAAAGAATCGATCGCCCGGCCGCACTTGAAATGGTTGCGCGACGTATCTGCCCAAACCCGATACTTGTCGAAGGTGTCCATGCGCTGCTTCATACTTCCACTCGGTGCCTGGTGGGACGTAGTGCCGGCGAGGCGAGATGGGCCAAAGGTCCTCGTCGACGACGTGCTGCTGCTGGTGTCCATTCGCGATCGACTTGCTCTTACCGCTGCTGCTGCTGCCGCCGCCGCCGCCGCTGCTGCTGCTGCTGCTCCATCGCATCGAGTCGTAGAGCCCCTTGTGCTCCACTGCCAGTGGATCAGCGTACTCGTGCGCTTGGTGTGGAATGGCTGGCCAGCCTGAATGGGTCTGTGTGGAGCGAAGGCAGTCGAACTTGAGTCGAGCGAGGCGGGGCGTGCGTGCGTGCGTGCGTGCGTGCGTGCGTGTGGGGCGGGCACTCAGCAAGCGTGGAGAAGATGGCGTCTTGTATGATCAGGGCGATACTCACGCATGATGGATGGAGCGGAAGCGGGAGCGGGAGCGCGCTGATGCCACCGAGGACAAGAAGCGCGAGTGCGCCAGATCGAGCCAAGATCATGGCGCAAAAATGGTGGGGGGGAGCGTGCAAGCGTGGCCGTAGCAGATGGATCGTCCGCGCTCTTGTAGGAGCTGCGCGAGCGTTGTTGTTGTTGCGCGTGCGGTACGCCACCCCACCTGCTGCGCCCTTGTCGAGCGGAGGATGGTTGCCTACAGCGAGCGCCACGCGCGCGTTACCGGCTTTCTTGTCGCCACGCGCGGGCATCTGGGCTTCCTTCTCGCCTTCATTGTCGCCACGCGCAGGCAATCTCTCCTTGTGGCCACGCATGCCTCAATGCTCGGGGACCATCATGCCGATCATGGTCGCATCGATCATGGCGTCGATATTGACCCAAGAGTGTGTGAGCACTGTGGCGGGCGGACGTATGCTAGGTCAGCAGCCCGCGTGCACGTCCGCGTGACCACACCACACCACACACCACACCACTCACTGAATAGCCGCGTGCCATCCCTGCCAGCTACGCGCATCAATTCCTTTTCGCCGCCGGGATGAAAGCGGAGATAAGGCGAGAGGTTGTAGACTTTACCGTTGAAGCATGTCCAGCAATCTTGTCTGCTCTTGTGCTTTGCCAACTCCGAAGGTGTGATGCGCAAGTAAGAAGTCAGACCTGCCTGTGCGCGTGCGCGAGAAGCGTGCGCGAGTAGCGAGCGCATGGTAAGCCGTCGCTCGCTCGCACGCACGCACGCGCCCACGCACTCCCCCCCCCCCCCCCCCCCCCCCCCCCCCCCCCCCCCCCCCCCCCCCCCCCCCCCCCCCCAACCCCCTCTCTCTCTCTCTCCACCCCCCACCCACACTCACCCTCAACTCCGGTTTGCCGCTGCTCTTCTCTCGAGCCCAATCCAGCGCGCTGCATCCCGGCGCCAGCGCGACTTTGCGACGTATGCCTCCCCCAGTCTCGCTGCCGCTGCCGCTGCCGCTGCTTGCTCCTCCAACTGCCAGCGAGCTGTTGCCCGCGCCCGCGCCACCGCCACCGCCACCGCCCAATCTAGCACCGCTTGCGCCACCCACGCCTGGAGGAGCAGTCAGGGCGGATGTGCGAGGTGGAGCTGCGAGCATGGAGGAGGAGGAGGAGGAGGAGGAGACAGCGAGCGCGGGAGCAGATGGAACGCCTAAAAGGGACCTGAGGCTGGATTTGCTCGCTGTGGCTGTGGCTGTGGGTGCGGGTGCGGCTTTGCGCTGCGATGCGTCACCCTTGCTCGTCGTGACGCCGACGCCACCCCTGTGCGAGCGTGCACCCGCGCCCGCACCCGCACCCGCACCCGCACCCGCACCCGCTCTCTGCGCGCTGTCGAGTGCTGGAAAGGCAGGTGGCGCGTCGTCGTCGTCGTCGTCGTCGTCGTCGTCGTGCGCGTCGTTGTGAGGCACGACGAGAGTGGGAGCGGCACGCTTGATGCTCGGCGGAGCGGACGGCCTCTTGAATGCGGCTGCGGCTGCGGCTGCGGCTGCGGGTGATGTGGTGGCGGCAGTGGTGAATGACAGCTTGCAGTGAGGGTCGGGGTCGAGCTGAGCAATGTCGAGCGTGGAGAGCGCATCTTGAAAGGTTGCATCCTGCTCAGAGTCAGACGCAGAAGAGTCAGACTCCGAGTGCGCTTGTGCGTGCGCGTGTGCATGTGTGCGTGCCATGATTGTCATTGGCGGTGATGGAGTTTGCAGGGGTAAAGAGTACAGGCGCGTGTGCGTGTGCGTGTGCGTGTGCGTGTGCGAGTGTGCGAGAGAGGGATCGAGATCGGGATCGAGAATCGAGAATCGAGAATCGAGAATCGAGAATCGGGATGCCGCGCGACGCTCGCTCGCGCGCGCGCGGGGATGATGTATGTGCCTGCGAACCCAATTGAGCCTTGGAATACGCCCGTGAGAAAAGGAGTAGCAGCAGCAGCAGCAGCGTCACGTGACGCGCGACGCCGCAACAACGCCTCCGCAGGCGAGGCTCACTCAAAAGGCGAGGTGTTTTTGTAATACTTGTTTTGCTGTTCGAGAGCGCTTTCTGCATGAGAGCAGTGGGAGGGACTGGCTAGCTGGGTTGGATCGAGTGCAGGCCGTCACCTCCCGCTTCGATGTGGGTTGTGGGTTGTGGGTTGTGTGTGCGCGGGTGTGTGTGCGCGGGTGTGTGTGTGTGTGTATGTGTGTGCGCGGTTGCTCACTCGTACGCTGTTCGTCATGCATTCATTCAGCAAGTGATGGCGCATCCAAAGTCGAGGTGTGCGTGTGCGTGTGCGTGTGCGTGTGCGTGTGTGTGCGCGCGCACTGAACGTGATGGTGGTGGTGGCGGCGTGCAAGAGGAGGAATGACGTGCGTCGTACGTTGGTGAAGCGTGCGCGCGCGGATGTTTTTCTCTTTTCGCGCTTCCTGCTGTTTGCTTGCTTGCTGTTTGGCGGGCAGGGCTGCTGCTGCTGCTGCTGCATTTCGATCACGTGACTTCAGGTTACGCCCGCCCGCCCGACGCGTTTTCCGTTTGGCGCGCATCAACACGCAACACGGCGCGAGCACGCAGCATGCAGCATCGCTCTGATCGGCCTCGATCGTGACTCGAGCGATGAGAGCGCGACTCGAGAGCTCGAGGTTGTGAACTGTCTGCGCGCGCCAACACACACCTCCTTCACCACCACATCCACGCACGCACCCCACACACGCGTCACCATGCCGCCCACAAAGACGCGCAGATCAGACTCCAGACCTTCGAGCGTGGCGTCGCCGCGCAAGTCCCGACCACCAGCAGCAGCAGCGGCGGTGCTTGGAGACGGAGAGAAGCAGATGATCGCAAAGCAAAAGGTGAATGTCAACATCGACATCAAGCATGGCCTTGCTGCTGCTGCAACCGTTGACGACGACGACGACGATGATGAAGCGGCGTTCGGGAGTGTGCTCGAGCATGCCCACACGTGAGTCTGGCCCCCCACGCACACCAAGCATACACGCACACACGCGCACACGCATACACGCACTACGCGGCTCACCACTGCACACCTCCTCCCCCTCACCCCCCTCTCGACAGCGTTGCGCAAATGCTTGACGCTGGTCGAGCAGCTCCGGCCGGTACTCCACCGCTCACCCTCGCGCTGCTCTCGAATGCTCTGCGCAGACGATTGACGCAGGGTGCAGAGGCTTCGAGAGGTGATGAGGCGGTACAGATCGACTGGACGAGGTACGCGTACTGGCCAGAAGGCTTGATTCAGGAGGAGCTCGCTCTCAATGTGAGTTGGGGCCGGGAGGGGAAGGCGGGGGATGCAGCTTGGCGTTTCGCACGGGCGCGGGCGCGGGCGCGAGCGCGAGCGCGTCTTCGCTTCGCTTCACTCACCCGCACTCGACCGCACACGCGCGCGCGCGCGCGCAGGACTACTTTAAGCGACTCAAATTCATCCACTTGGAAGTCGAGACCAAACGTTTGTTCCTCGCTCAGACCATGCCTGGTTTCGCTGCCAACGAAGAGGAGGAGGAAGAGGTCATCTACTCTGCTGCAGATGTGGCAGCCTTGGGTGAGTGGGAGGAGAGGGAAGGAGCGTTGCGGGAGGAGAAAAAAGAGCGTCGCCTCGACGGCCCCCGGCGCTTACACCCTCTCGCTCTCCGGCCGCCCTGCAGAGCAAACGGCGAGCGAGCTCAAGTCGCAGATGCGCAGCGCAAAGGCGCAGATCAAATCTCTCCGCAGCGCCATCGATGCGTGCGCAGGCGCCCTGCTGCCACCGAGCACGGCACGCTCGATGACGACGACGCCGACGCCGTTGCCGACGCCTTCCAAGCGTCGCAAAGCATCCGAGTCCTCATCGTCGTCGTCGCGCGGCGCAGTGGGCGATTTGTTGGAGCAGTCCATCGAAGCATCGCATCTGATCGAGGATATTGCGGATTTGGAGCTGCGCATCGCTAGGACCAAAGCGGCTGGAGGTGGTAGCAGGCCAAACTTTGAGAATCGCAAAGAGCTGGAGAGCATCCCGAAAGTGGCTACGCTGACGCCAGACGAAGCTGCAGAGTGGTGCGATAGGCAGGTGAGTCCCGTGAGCGTGAGCGTGCGCGTGCGAGCAGGGCGAGCAGTGCGGAGCGCGGTGAGGGGAGGGGTTGCGTTGGGCAAATAAGGGCGAGCGCATTCTTTCGAGGCGCATTTCTTCGACCGCATTCATTCAGCGCACCCATTCCATTCCATTCATGCCCACTCGCACGCACGCGTCTTGAAACACAGATCGACGAGATGCAGTACCTGGCCAGCGCATCCACAACTCTGCAACAGACCATCGATGCGCGCAAATCCGAGCTGGTAGCCGCTCACAGATCTCTGGACAGGTTGAATGTGGAGCGAGGAGTGGCGGAGCAGTACGCCGAAGAAGCGGACAGGGCGGGCGTGGTTCAAGAAGCGGCGCTTGCTGAGAGGGGTGGTAACGCCGGCGCCGCGACCGCGACCACAGGCAAGGGAAGAGATTTGGAAATCGAGAGGATATGTCTCGAGTGAGTTTCATCCCGCGCGCCGCGCCGCGCCGCGCCGCGGACCCGTGTCCTCGCATTGCGCGTGCGTATTTTTTTTTTTCCCCTTTCACTCAAGCTCAAGGCACGCCGTCGCGTCCACGCAACAAACACCCCCACCCCACCCCATCAGGCACGCAGATACGCTCGAAATTCTTCGCACCATCCTGGGCGTGCAAGCCATCTCTGCTCCAGACTGCAAGACGCTGCGCGTCGTGTACAGCGTGGCGGCGCGAGACGGAGACGACAAGCATAGCGTCGGCGGCGGGTGCGGGAGCGGGAGCGCGACGGCGGTGTTCAGGTTCGACAAGCCAGCTGGCAAGCTGCTTCAATTCAGCGTGAGTGTCGGGGGGAGAGCGCGCGCAACGCGGAAAGAATGCGAAAGCACCACCACACATGCTTGCGAAGCACCCACACATGCTTGCGAAGCACCACCACATGCTCACTCGCCCGCGCACCGCCACCACAATCCCCACTCGCCCTCGTCCGCGCAGGTGACGGACGAGGATGACAAGGACTTGCTGCAAAACATTGCACCGCCACATTCGTACGCAAGAGCAGCGCTGGACGCCGCGCACGCATCCAACGACCTGCCAGGTCTGGTCCAAGAGCTCATCATGGCCCTCGACGCCTAGCCTAGGCTAGGCTAGGCGCGCGCGCGCAGTCCACAAAATCCTGCAACACATGGTCATTACGCTCACGACGCACCGCCCCGACTCAAACATCCTCCTCATCCTCCTCCTCGTCGCCTTCAGCGATAGCCTCGTGAGCTTCTTGAGCCTCCTCTTCCTGCTCGTCGTGCCAAGCAGCAGGTACGGCGTAGAATCGCAGCACGTTCTTGTTGGGATCCTTTAGCAGCACAAACTTGCTCGTCACGCCTTGCCCATCCCTCGAGCTGGCGTGCTTGCGAGCCAGATCCGCAATCGTTCGAACGATGCCCCACCCGTTGGCCAGGTTGAGATTGATCTGCGCTGCAAATTCCTTGGGCTTGTACCATTGCGTTCCCAAGATGACGTGTCGCGAAGTGTCGCGAGGTGTGGCTCGAGAAATGTATCTGCGTTGGGGAAGGGGGGGGGATGCAGGGCGCGAATCAGAACTGTTTGCCCCCTCATCCACACGCGCTCGCTACTCACCCCATCTTCATATTGTCTGCGCCCGCAAGGATGCTCTGAATGGCAAAGCGCGCAAGCTTGGCGCTATTGTTCTTCATCTCTGTAGCTACGACTGCGCCTCTCTGCGAATCCAGCTTGGTCCTCCAATCCGGCGCACCTCCAGCACCGGGAGCCTTGCTGTCAAACTCGTTGAGCGTCTTGATGGTGATGAATTGCGGCGCGGCGCTCTTGGTCGCGCCAGGAATGAACGCGTCCACCTCTGTGCGCAGGTAGATCTCCACTTGCTCCTCTGAGCTTGCGCTGACGTCGAATTTGCGGTAGCGGTAGCCGCACGAACCCAGTCGCTCCGTCTCTGCGCTGGAATCGTAAAAGGGATTCGCTCCGCCAGCCAGCGTCTTGCTCTTCTTTTCGTTGACCACTTGGCTGGCAAAATTTTGGTTGATGTAGGTCGCTTCCAAGCTGAGATTGCCGGGCGTATTGATGGACGCGGCAGCCGTATTGTTGCTGCTCTTGTTGGCCGCATCCTTGCCCTCCAGCGCCGCCGCATCCGCAAGCTCCAAGGGAGGCTCGGCGGCGTTCTCATTGACGCTGACAAAGTCAAAAGCGCCTCCTTCGCGCTTGTCGAGGAACACGTTGCCTTGAGCGTCTCGAGTAATGACGAGGTCCCAAGGGTAGACGCTGCGAGTGGCGCTCATGAGCAGCGCGAGGATGCTGTCCGTCGCAAAAATTCGCACGGGCGCTGATCCTGCATCCGCCGCCTGCGAGGGCTTAGCTGCCAGATCTGCGAGGATGGGGTCGTCGCGCGTGCTGGGATTGTAGCGCACCCGGTCGATTGGCTGCAAAGCCTTTTCGAATCGAACAGAAGAGATGCGATCGTAGCTTCGGTCGTACTCGTACAGCGTGCCGTGGGCGGACCTGTGCGGGAAGAAAAGGAATTCGAGTGAGAAGGCGCGAAGAGGGAGCTGAGAGTGAGAAGGAAACACGAGCGCAGGCAATCCCCGCGCACACTCGCGCAGGCAATCCCCCGCCCGCACCCGCGCACACACACACACACACTCACAAATCCTCTGGATCCTCGACATCGAGCTTGAGCTTGGCCAATCGGGAAAAGTCGATTTCCTCCAGCTGCTCCCAGTCGTCGCCCACATCGACAGACGGCTCGCGCGTACGTTGAGGCTTGTCCCAATCCCTCCAGCCGCCGCGACGCGCTGCTCCACCAGGTCCACCTCGACCAGCAGGACCGCCTCTGCCAGCACTGGCACCGCCTCTTCCACCGCGAGCGCCAGCAGCCACATTCCTCGCGCCGCCTCGCGCTCCGCCTCTAGCACCACCGCGACCGCGGGAGAAGGAGGTCAAACCACCGCGAGATTTCGTAGTCGTCTTTGCATTGTCCACCACGCTAAATGTGGCCTCATCTTCGCCGTGAAAGTAGGCGAATGCGGAACCAGCATTTGCGCCGTACACTTGAGCTGTGCCTCCATCCCTTCCGCCTCGACCCGATCTTCCACCGCGCAAAGGTCTATCGCCCGCAAGGGAACTTCCATCTGCGCTCGAATTCCAATCGGCGATGCGGCCAATCTTGTCCGACTGGCGGGTGTGTTTTGTTTGGTGATCATCAGCATGTGCGCACGCGAGCGCAATCACGTGCATGATCGCTGGCGAACCCTCTTTCCCCCCAACTCTCACCTTTGCAAAGGGCACGAATGGAATGTCTCTGAATTCGGGAGGCAAGACGGATGCGGAGCTGGAAGCGGAGGGAGAGAGAGTGTGGCCGTGGCCGTGGCCGTTGGAGCGAGAGTCGCTTGCAGAGGTGGATGTGGCAGAGGTGGCATCCTCGACTGCGGGACCCCAATAGCTGGGAGTGTCCTGCACCACTGGAAGCGAGAATGACGCCATGGTGTGGGAGTGTGTGTGCGGGGGGGTGCGCGTTGCGCGTATACGGTGTATGGGGGGTTGATGGTGGTGTGTTGAGCCATGAGCTGCTGCTGAGAATTTTGACCTGCAGCGCGCGCCCATCACTTGTGTAGAAGAAAGCGCGTCCATCGAGTGCCACGTGGCGTGGCGTGGCGTGCAGGGTGTGCTGCACATCGCTACGCGTTAGCCCTGTCTGTCAAGATGGCACGGTGCGCGCAGGCACGCACGCACTCCAAGCTTGCCGGCTCGCCGCACCAACACGCACGCACGCACGCACGCACGCCGACCTCCACCTGACGAGGGGACTCACAAGGCCGGGGCGGCGGGCTACAGACAAGGTGGATACACTCACGACTCACGACTCACACTCACACTGCGACTGATGGCATCGTGTATCGAACATCGCACACACCACACACCACACACCACACACCACACACCACACAGCCCACCCACACTCGCGCAACATGACATGGCACAGACTCGTTCGATTCGTAGCCAAGGAGGATGGCAAGGCGTACGTGGGAGTACCTCGAGTGAGCTCCTCATCGCAAGACATTGAGCAGCTGGTGCGAAGAGGCGAGGAGCGGATGACTGTCAAGGTGATTGCAGGAGCATCAGCAGATGAGTGGAACATCGAGACGATTCTGAGCGCGGCGAATGCGGATGCGGAGGCACGTGGAGAGGAGAAGACGGTGGATCGATTGCTGCCTTGCGTGCCGGCAGAGAGGATCCCGGCATTGAGGGCGTTGGGCGCGAATTACGTGCAAACGGGTCAGGATGCCGCACAGGCCAAATCCAATCGACCCGCCATTCCCATCCTCTTTTTCAAACCTCCTCGCACCACCGTCGTTGGACCTGGCGATGCTATACGCGTACCCGAGCAGCTCGTTGATCAGACGGACTACGAGGTGGAGTTGGTGGTCATCATTGGCGCAAAGTGCAAGGATGTAAAGAAGGAGCACGCGCTCGACTACGTGCTGGGCTACACGCTGGGCAACGATGTCAGCGCCAGAAAGAGAATGTTTCAGGTCCCACAGTGGGGTTTGGGTGAGTGTATGCGTGTGTGGGCGCGTGCGCGTGCGCGCGTGGGAGTGGCCGCACAGCGAGCACCGCACAACTGACACGCTCACGCTCACGCCATCAGGCAAAGCAGCCGACACCTTCTTTCCGCTCTCCTCTACCATTGTGAGCACATCGCTGCCGGTCCCCCCCAAATGCACCACGGCAGCAACCGCTGAATCCACCTCCACCTCCACCTCCCCCTCCCTTCTCGCGCGCAGGTGTCCAAGGAGCTGATTCGCGATCCAGAAGACGTGACGCTCAAGACGCACCTCAACGGCAAGGAGATGCAGAACGGCAATACGCGTCATCACCTGTGGAGCGTGGCAGAGACCATCGAGATGCTATCTCAAGGCACCACGCTCTTGCCAGGCGATCTCATCTCCATGTGCGTTGCCCGCGTGGGGCGCATACAAGCTGGTCGCCAGCCTCCGCGGGCGCAATCACTGAACCCCCGTCCGTCACCTCTTGACGTATCCGCACGCAGGGGCACACCTCCAGGCGAAGGCTTCAAGCGCGATCCGCCCGTATTCATGAAGCACGGCGATGTCGTGACCATTTCGGGCTGTGAGTGCATGACAGGCGTCACAGGCGTCTGTCAGCCAGCGAGGACTTTTCCCACTCACCCCCATCCTTTGCACGCCACAGCACACGGTCTTGGAAGCTTGTCAAATCCCGTCGTCGAGGTGGCCAAGGCGCACGATCACATCAAGGCAAAATTGTAATCACAATCACGAGGAATGCATGGGCGCGAGAGCATCAGCGGTATCTCTGGCTCCGATTTTGCTATTTGAGGTCGTCGTGCAGAAGGGTCAGGCGAAGGGCGATGGCTGCGTGAGAGCATCCATGCCGACGCTTTCCCGCGAAGTGATTATGTCGGGCGAGACCTTGCCGGTGCATTGAAGGCGTTCATCGAGCGCGGCCCTTCACCAGCTGGAAAGCAACAGGCGGGATTCGTGAACAGCAGCATGCGCGTTGGCAATCCTCACACCAGCGGACGCCTTCTGCAGGTGTTGCGCGACGAATGCGGATGGCGAGTGGCAAGTCACAATTGACCACTAATTCGACCCTTTAGGCGTGCTCGGCCTTGCTGGCTGGCGAACGCGTAGTCAGCGCAGTGCGATCGGTCCCTAAGCTCGTTTGAGCGCCGACTTGCTCACGTACACTTGCTGAATGAATCTTTTTCCCTTCTCCTTGCTCAAGCTCAGCTACAGCATACTCGAGCGTCGCTTCTGAGTTTCGTTCATTGATCGCACCGATGGTCGATCGCATCGTTCATGTAGCCAACGACACGCGCCATCGACGCCAGGCACGCTCGCTCGCTCATCCACGCGGCCAACTATCAACATCGCCAAGCAAGCGGACAAGCGATCGGGAGCAGTCATAATGGCGCGCGCGCGCACGCGCGCACTCGCCAGCCAACACTCCCCCCTTGCCAGCGTCTGCGTCCGTGCGGCGCAATTCTCAGCCCCGCGAATGGATTGCAATGTTGGCGTGCATCCTGAAGCACCAATCGATGGCAATGCGCCACCACAGCGCGCTTGCCTGTAGCTCTTTGAAAAGACGCTTTCTTCTTGTGAGTGACTCTTCTGAACGAACCTCCATCGGAAACTTTTCAGATTTTTCTTCTACTCGTAGCTTCGAGCTGGTTCTCGCAGCATTCACGCCTATTCAACTCTATCATTCTATAATCTCAAATCGCCGATCGCATTGCAAATTCTCGCGCCCCCAAGATGCGTCTCGTTTCGGTGATCTCCTTTGCGCTCGCAATCACTCATGCTCGCGCCGGCGGCCTTGGCGAGGTGTTGGGTATGGCAGGGAGAAAGGCAGAACAAGCATCCTCCTCCTCGAGTGTGAGTTGCGAGCACTGAAGGCGATGGATGCTGCACGCCGATGCTGCATCCGATCTGACAGCTGACCTCGCTTGCACGCAGCACACGACGCCCATCCCGATCGGTCATCCTTCTCACTACGCAGATACAAAAGGCCAAGTCTCTCACATCTACGGTGGCCGCGCCCTTGGACCCAACTTTGCCGAAAGACGCGAAGGTATACACTTTCCTGGCCATATCGAAGGTACCACGCAGCAAGGCACTCGCATTGCATTCTTTGCCAAACCAGGCAACCATTTCAAGATGATTGGCGAGCATACGATGCTTGGAACTCACGGACCGGCCAAAGGTCGCGCGTATGAGACTGGACCCAATGGCGGCGTCTTCTTTGACGTGGCTCATAAGGGCAAGGTGGTGGGATCATTTCAGGGCATACCGGCAGACCGCAAAGGGCTCTACGATCAAGCCACGAACCCGGTGCACGAACAGGGTCCTCAAGTCAGGCCGACGCGCGAAGAAGCTCGTAAAGCCATCAAGAGCCTACGAACGAGATCTCCAACCACCATAAACCCTTCCAAATATGCGGATCCGATCAAAGATCCTCAGGAGCTCTACGGAAGCGGAGGCGTCGGACCGAATGCGCTGGAGCGCCGAAAGGGAATGCATCATGAGAGCTATGTAGAGGGCAGTTCGCGCAGAGCTTCCGTGAAGGCATTCTTTGCCAAGCCGGGTCAGCATTACGCGTCCAACGGCGATGGGCAAATGGTTCAGACGCACGGCGACAATCCGGGACACGTTATACAGCACGGACCTTCGGATCACTTTTATGATGCATCGCACAAGGGCAAACTCACTGGATCTTTTCAGGGCGTCTCTCCAGAGCGCCACGGCATATACGATCAAAAGGAGAATCCCGTGCACGAGCTGGGCGTGGGCGTCAGACCGAATCACTCGGAGGCTAAAAAGATACTCGATGGCGCAAAAGATGGCGCAAAATCAAGCAGCAGCTGCTTCGCCTCGCTCGCCGGTTGCGTCAGGATAAAAAAGGACGCATAGCGTGTCATCCGAGCTCTTCCCCGACGCACGCAGTACGCCATCTCGAACGCGCGCCGAATGTCGTAGATTGAGCTGCCCGCACGCATTCCCTCGAGCGGGCGGTGCATTTCAAGCTGATGACAATCGCATCACTGCAACTTGCTCGAGCAGCGTCTGTCCGAGTCTGGTGTGCCCGTCTGCGTGCGCCCCCCCAGCCCGCATAGGCCTCGCGTATCGCTCCAGTGTCGTAGTCGTGTCGCCACCGCCAGCCGCATGGCAAGGTCGTCGGCTCCTTCACAGATGCTGCAGTGCCACGCGAGCAAGTTGGCCTGTACGAACATGCATGTGAAGCATCTCGGTGATCTTGGGCCCGAAGCTCGTCCGCAAGCGTTGCAGCATTGCGCCGAGGCCCAAAAGGCGGCAATCCAGGACACCGATTCCTGATTCTGTTTCAAAGCGAGCTTAGCATCGAAGCTTGATGTACCACAGCTCTCCGACTCAGCTTCATTGCCACCACTTTTTGCACTACAGCGTTCTCGCGCTGCATGGGCGCACGATGTAGGCGTTCAACGAGAAGCGCAATAACAACACTGGACGTCAAGGGCGAGCAGACAACGCCCACAGCCAATACCAAAAGCTAGGGTGAAGCGATGGCGTTCACCGAAGGTCGAGACGCACCGCGCACCTCCAGCAAGTGGTATAATACAGTGCGTCCAGCGCCCAGCATGCCATTCATGATTTTGAGCACACTTTTCACACCTCGAAGCGCACTCAGCTGGCTCTGGTGCGCCCGCCGCTCTTGCATATCTTGACTTTCCCTCTTCTTTGCCAGACCACGCACGCCACGCCGCCATGCTTCACCTCAAAGCGTCCGCTCTTGCAGCTCTCGCGGCTCTCTGTTGCGCCCGCGTCGAAGCTGTGCCAGTGGGTGGATCGCTTTTGAGAAAGTTGGTGAGTGTCGGGCGCTATTCACCCGATTCACCCGTTTTTGCGCGCCGCTATTCACCCACTTTTGCGCGCGCTTACATCGCAAACGCCACGCAGGGCCTTGGCGATGGTGCGCTGCCAAAGAAGGAGGTGCACCCTCTGAATTACGCGCACCCTCGCGACGATGTGAATCACGTGTACGGACATCCTTATCAGGAGGCCAACTTTCACGAAATGAAGCCTGCCTTGCACAAAGATGGCTACATTCAAGGCAGCGCCCAGACCGGCGCAGTCGCAGCCTTTTTCGCCATGCCTGGTGCTCACTGGAAAGCTGTGCCTGGAGGCAAGATGCTTCAGACGCACGGCAAGGGAGCAGGCACGGAGATCAAGTACAATCCCACGGATCACTTTCACGACGTCTCTAGTCATGGCCGCGTCGTCGGATCGTGGAAGGGCGTACACCCGCAGTATCACGGCATCTACGACAAGCACTTGACGCCCGTGCACTCCATGGGACCAGACAGGAGGCCGGATGCCGCCGAGGCAGAGTCTATTCTGGTCAACCTCAAGACGAGCTCCAAGAGTCAGAGGTACATGCCTCCCTCGACGAGCCATTCGTGATTGGGAGCGCGGTGGCAAGACGCGTGGCGAGGGGCGGCGACTTTTGAAAAGCACGCATAGGCATGTTATTCCCCCCTCCGCCACCGCCACTTTACGCCGCGGGGCAAAGGTCTGCTCATCAGCACGGCGTATACGATCGCCGTGGCAATGTAGCGCTCGAGCAGCGAGCGTCGTCACCTCGCCTCGGACATACTACAAAAGCTGGCTCTCGATCTTCTCTTTGCCGCTTCCTACCATGCACCACCTCCCTTGTCTTTTTCAATCGCACTGCGCAATGAGATTCATCGTCATTTTCTTCGCGACTGGCAGCCTACTGGCAGGGCCAGGCTTGCCCAACTTTGCCCACGCTGCGCCTCTAAAGGTAAGGTCAAAAGTTATCGGCCTCTCGCGCACGACACCGCTGAAGCTCTTCTGGCATCCCTGCAGGGCTGTCTTGGATGTATCGAAGGCACCAGCTCTCGTTTCTCCGAGGCCGCGCAACACGGCTCGCACGAGCGCGTGGGCGTGGGCGTGACAAACATGCATCACGACTATTTGAGCTCCAGCGACATTCACCGTACCTACGCTGACCCGAATGAGGACCCGCTCATGCTGTACGGACATCCAGCGTTTCAAAGGCAACCAAATCATGGTGAAGCGGATGCTCAACTTCATGGCGGCAGCCTCGTGTCCGGTCCAAGTCTCGTATCCGGAAGTGGCCGTCATAGAGAGGTCAGGGCGCACTTTGCGACGCCCGGCACCGAGTGGAAATACAAGGGCACATATTTGAAGCAAAAGAAAGGACCAAGTGTGGGAATGAGGCTGCCAGTGTCGAAAGATGACTTGTTCTACGATGCAACGCATGGTGGTGGCGTCGTGGGAAAGATTCACCTCCCAAGGGGAATGAAGAATCAAAAAGGTCTCTACGACATTACGAGAAACAATGTTCCCGCGTATGGCACCGCTATGCGACCCAACAGAGACCAAGCGCTCGATGCGATGCGAGATATGCGAAATGCTCGTCCATCTCCTTCATGGCATGCGCCCCATCAGTGACCTGTTGTATTGCGACATTGGGCCATCCACACATGTCACGAACCTTGCTTCTCTTCCCACGCACGCAGAATAGTATTCCGTGCCAACGACACGGCCCTGTCCGCCTCTAGGCATACTCAAAGAGCGTGCACTGTTGACATCGCGCGAATCATCCAAACAAGCAAGATCACCAAGGTTTGCAGACCATTCCGCAACTGTGCGCGATTGAACTAAAGTCGTGTCGTTGGAGCAAATAGCAGCTCACCTAGCGCTCTCGAATGCTTCTTGCCACTCGGCTGGGATCACCGCGCATCGCCCGCCAATTTCGCAAAGGCGACTTTAGCCGTGCGGACCTCATTAGCGCCTCCAGTTCGGCGGCAAAATGGCAGAAGCATCCGTGCGCAGACGCGCAGCGATCTTTGCTTCGGCAAAGCACCAAACCTTGACGATCGGTCGTCACTTGACCGCCCACATTCGCGGCGAGACATACTGTGCCACTCGACGATCAGTCTGAGCAGCTGTGTGTGATTCCCAACACGCGTACAAGATGTGAAGCTGTTGGCAGCGTTTCCAAAAAGAAAAAAAGCTTGCACAACTCTCTGTCGCCATCGTTACTGCAGCGTCTTCGCTACAACGTGAACTCACACCTCCTCCTTTATGCGAAAATGCGCTTCACATTCGCCCTGTGCTTGCTTATTTGGCCCTCGCACGGCATGCCTCTCTTCGTGCGTCGCCCCGATGAGCGCCTCGTCTTGCTCAGCTGACGCTGAGACACACTCCCCTAGCAGTGCAAAAGCTGCATATCAAAGTCGGACGAGTCCATAGCATCCACGCCGCGGCGCGGTTTTTGGAACACGAGCCCGCCGTACAGGGAGTGGAAGTATGCGAATCCCAAAAAGAGCAAGTCGGACATGTACGGCAAGAAGAATTGCCAAGATTCGCCCAATCACGAAAACTGCGCTGCCACTCGCCGGCTACACGGCGCTGTGCAAGGATTGGATGCAAAGGGCAACCTCAAGGCGGTTTGGGGCATGCCGGGCGCCGAATGGCGATTGGAAGATCAGCACATGGTGCGCACGGATGCAAGAGGGCGCTTCTACGGCACCAAGATGCAGCATCGCGCTGGAACGGTGTACTTTGACCCCGTGCAAGACGGCGAGATCATAGGAGGCTTTGATGTGGAGCGCAAGCTGCGCAATTTCAAGGGCGTCTACGACATCGACGCGAATCCCGTTCATCGCTACGGTCCCGAGGCGCGGCCCAACATCAAAGACGCGCAGCGCACCTTTCGATCGATTCAGGACCGCATGGAAGCGGAGACGTCGTCCGCGCAGTCTTCGGCCACATCCACACCGCAATGGCGCAAGTTTGGTGCTGCCGAGAGCAAGCTTCACACGTCGTAGAAATGGCGTGCATGACCAGGTGACTGGTCTGAGGGGGCAGCGAAGAGCCAGCAAGCTGGGCAAGCTGACGAGAAGCGCATGCAAGCATGGCAGTGCACCCGCACGGCCCCCCAAGGGCTAGTGCTTTCATTCGACCGTGTTAGACCTGTAATCCTCAAAGACGAGAGTGTCAAGTGACAGCGGAGACGGTTGCGGCACGAAATGAGCGAGATTTGAAGCGATCTGTGACCTGTGCAGATGCGACGATAAGCCGCGATTCGTAATTTCAGTCCCGACCACAAGGTACCTGCGTGGAACAATGACCGTGGCGACCTGCTAGGCGCCACTGGCATTGCCACGCTCCTCGCCCTGCTTCACTATACACGGCTTGTCGGCATCGCAAAGCTTCCAATTGAACCATACTGCAATCATGAACGCCATGCGGCCAATCTACGAAGCAATCTTTCTTCCTTCACACGTCTCCACATGTAAAGTGCGGCCAGCCACCCCTCTGCGTTCAGCATGACGGCGGCGTGAAACATGGACTCTGAATGAAAGTGGAGTGACAAGCGCTGCAGCTCCTTCCTTCTCCTCCTCTTCCGCACTGGAGCTCCCTGCGGGGATCCGCAAATTTCGGTGGATGCTTCGCCACTCGCCGCACGATCACCTCGTCCCTCGCCACTCGAGAGCCCGCATACAAAAGACCAAGCAGAAGATGTGCTCCTGTTCGAACCTCGGGGAGGAGCAGCTGGCTTGCTCACTTTCAATTTCGCACAAGCTTGCAACGACATGAGCTATCGTCTCCTCGCATTTCTGGCGTCGCTGCTCTTCAGCAATGCGCTAGCCAAACCCCTGAGAAATTTAGTGAGTGCATAGAGAAGTGTCTCGCTCGGACCAACGTCTTGCGCTCAACAACCGCATCCGCAGTGCAGAGACTGTCTCGTCCATGAGCCGACGTCCGTCGTCAGACCTTCCGAGGGTGCAGCAGAGACCGTTAAGTTTCGTAGTCCCGACGCATCGGAACGGGACAAATTGTGGCGTCAAGACCTCGAAGCGATCTCGCGCTCCTCTTTGCATGCGCTTCGCTCGGGGCCTCGATCTGCCACGCCTGGACGCCTCACCTCCGCACCCTCGCCCAGTCGCTCTTCTCATGGCCACTCGCTTCGAAGTGCGAATCCAGGAGGTTCGCCTACGAGCGAGGTGGGAGTCGTGCTGGCAGATGGGCCTGTCACAACCTCGAGTCGAACCTTTGCTCACTACACTACACCTCGCACCTCCGTCGCTCGACTCGACCATAGTCGCTCTCCAAAAGACTCTGGCAATCGAGGCTACGCCAGCGGTTCCGACGCGCCCACATCACCGGGGCTTCGCTCTAGCAGCAGCGCCCTTTCCCATCTTGCCACAGCATCTCCTCGTCTATCGACCACTCCAGGCTCCAGGGAAGCGCGTCTGTTCGCGCAGACGCAGCGAGAGTTGCGTACAGCGTTGTCAGGCAAGAAAGCACTACAACACACGTCCGAGGGGCGAGGATCAAGGCGACTCGATCGGGCCTCGACAGCTGGCAAGGGCAAGTCGCCCGATGGCAACCGGCCGCAGTCTGCCTCGGATCGCTGGTCAGGCGCGTCGCAAGATCAAACGTCGACGCCAATTCCTTCGCGACAGGCGTCTATAAAGGACGACGATTCTGAGCGGAGCAGCCGCTGGTCCATGTCCGACAGGTACTCGCAGCTCCGATCACTTTCGCCATCTCCATCTCCACCTCATAGCATCCGCAGGCAAAGAGACGCGTACTCCCCCTCGCCGCAGAGGAGCCCCATGCATTCACCTCTGAGAACACCCTCAAGCTCTCGCCTGCTTTCACCATCTCCACAACGCTTTGCGCGCCTCTCGCCCGGCTCGGCGGTTCATGGCGACCGCAATGTGCCCAACGTTGTACATCCACTGGGCTACGCGCATCCGCACTTTGACTCTCACGGCCTCTACGGTCAGGTAAATCACAATCTAGAGGAACACACGCACGCTTTGCAGTACGATGGACACGTCAAGGGGACATCCTTGCGAGGCGATTCCGTGGCAATGTGGGCCAAGCCAGGATTTCATTTCCGGCACTTTGCTACCGGATGGATGGAGCAAAGGCACGGGTCTGGCCAGAGCAAGGTGCTGGGCCAGGGGCCCGGCCAGGGCAAGCTGCTGATGGTGGGGCCAAACAATCAATTCTTTGACGCTGTGCACAACGGCAAGGTAGTGGGCTCGTGGAAGCTGCACCCGTCCATGTCGAAGCAAAAGGGCGTCTACGACATTGAGAGAAATCCGGTCCACGTGCACGGTCCGAAAGCCAGAGCAAACAATCAAGAAGCGCTGCAGACGCTACAGGAGATGGAGGCGAAACATGCCCACAGTTCTAGTCGTCGTCGTCCATCCGACAGCGACGACGACGCGGACGACGGCATGGACTTCAGAAAGCCATCTCCAGCTGGCTCGAGGCGCACTTCGCGCTCCAGCAGCCCGCCGCAAGCTTTGGCCAGTCCCAGTGTGAGTCCAGCTCGGTCTCCACCAGTCTCCAGCACGCGTCGCCACTCTCCTGCAGTAAGCTCGATGCACGCGCAGGACCGACGCCAGCGAGACACATACCCGCGCGCCGACGGAATTTCTTCCACCCCCGCCAAACCTGTACCCGACGCATCGCCTTTGCCCACAGCGACATCGACGGGAGAAAAGCCGTCTGTCGACCAAGACGCCAAACGCTTGCGCTCGGAGCATAATCTCAAGCCCGAGGCTCAGCCGCAGCATTCCCGCGCTTCTTCGCCCGCTTCCTCGCTGGGCAGCGCAGACAGCTTCGCTTTTCGCGTGGGGCCTCTGCTCGGTGCGGAGAATGGGCAAGTTGCAGGGGTGGCAAATGGAGAGGTGGAAGGAAGGGCACTTCGCCGAGAGCACGACGTCGATCGAAAGGACGATTCGAAACAGAGCGCGCAACGTGGGGATGATCGAGATCCGATCCGACACGCGGCCGACATGAAGAGGGACAGGTGAGGTGGCAGGACAGTGTTGCGCTCAATACAAAGCACTCGTCAGAAATTGACAGTCGCAACAATGACACGTGAGCAAGGTCTGTTGTGGCTCCCGAGTGAAGACTTTGCGAAGGACGATCGTAGTGAAGGCTGAAGAAGACGACGACGCCAACGAAGCGTCGGCGCGTGTCACGTGACGCGATCAAGTCTTCCCAACAGTACTTCGAATGCGGAATCAATGACGCCTTGTCCTGACTTGTGGCTCAGGCCCAACCGACTCTGAGATTCTCGCAATGCAATGTGAAATTCTCAAGCCCCACGACGCGTCTCGATCAAGATTCGGTGGTGATGAGCCCCACCATTTTACGCGGCTCCGCCTCTGCAGCTCGCCTTTGGCGTGTGATGTACACTAGTAGTAGTGACGATTAGGTTACGGCGCAAGGGGGGCGTATCTTGCGCCATGCGCAAAGCAAGAGTTCGGAAATGGCGGTGGCGGCGAAGGGGTTTTGCTCGACAACATAGCGAGTGTCTTGAATGCACCAATGCCGCGAAACCTCCACCGTCGATCGACACGACAGTCCAGGCCAGACCTGCTCCCATCACCGTTGCGACGACTCGAGCCCCGCACGTCACTCTTGCGCACCGCATACACCCCAAGATGCATCTCAACATTCTGTCAATCGCCATGGCAAGCATGCTGATGGTGGCACAGGCTGGCGCGCTCCCCATCAGATTGATGTCACTAGTGAGTACTTGGCAAATCGCGACAACAGGGTCACAAACGCCGCTGAGAACGACAACACCTTCAAGTGCGAGACTTATCTGCCTCTTCGCATCTCAAAGGCCAGCAGCGAAGCTCCATCAACACCGCCATCCGCCACCTCCTCCTTCGACTCGGCTCATTGGGACTCGAAGTGGATGACTCAAACGAGCGCGTTTCCGGTGCGGGCACCCCTTGCCCACGTCGAAGCGCTATCCGTTCGCCAGAAACTGCTTCAAGCTGCTGAGAAGGGCTCGATAGGCTACCGTAGCGCGACCGCTGCGTCTTTTGGTCTCGAACAGGCGCATGCCGCTTCGTCTGACAGAGGCACTGCCCTACAAAGGTTGCGTCTCCGCATCGGGCGCGCGTGGAACCCGCTTGCAGCGTCCAGACAACATCGACAGTTGCACTGAAAGAGGCCATTGTATGCCAGAGATGGCGGAGCTAGCGTGAATTTTTCACCTAGCGCCTACTGCAATCGACCGTTACTGCTCGGTCTGACATCGACTAGAAAAGCCCGCATCCCATCGCTTGCGCCTGCCTGAACGAGTGACACACCATACATAATCATGCTGTCTACGCCACCCGAAAGACCTCACAGACATACGACCAAGTTTCGTACAAAAGGGTCACCCCGACCGCACTCTCTTGTTTCCATCCTGTCCCCCGCAGAACACACCTCTTACCACACGCCACCATGCTCTTTGCAATCGACCGCACAGTTCTTATTCTGATCAGCCTTTGGGCCCGCGTAGCCGCGCCAGTCCCCTTGAAAGGCTTTGTGAGTACGTCGGGGGCAATATTTACGACATTGGGCGCTCATTGCGCCTCTACTCCTGGCTCCGACAGCTCTGCTGTGGCAAATTGGCAGATGCAGAGGCTTCGCGCTCTGATCGCGTCTCCGCAGGACCTTCTTTGCCCACATCGTCAGAGTCGACCGAGAACCATGTCGCCACGAGACCCGACATGCAACAGTATGCCGCACACAACCATCCCATGTACCGGCACCCAGAAGTGTACCCAGCCACCAACGTTGAGCACTTTGCGGGCGTAGTCCGTGCCGTCGTGCAGCCCGGCGACAAGTGGGCTTACTGGGTCAAGCCAGGAACAATGTGGCAGTTGGACTCCAAGGGCCGCTTGACTCAGACATCCGGTGACGGCCATGGTCGCGAATTTGAAACCGCCTTGCAAGCTCATATCTTTGACGCTACAAGTCATGGTAGAGTCGTGGGCAAGGTCAATGTCCCAAAAGGCTTTCAAAAAGGAGCGTACGATGTACGCCGCAACCCGGTGCACGTCGATGGACCAGCAGCTCGGCCGTCTGATTTTCAATCGCGCCTCACTCTAGACTCGATGAGGCAGCTCGACCCAGCTGAGAGCTCATCCGCTCGTGTGCAAGGAGACCCACCTGATGCTTGGCACTGATAGAAGTTGGCTACATGACATCAGGGTGATGATCGCGATGCGTCCAATACACTTTCTTGTTCAAAGACACCTTAGACTCGCGAGGTCTTCGACTTGCCAGCAAATGTAGCGAGAATTGCCCTTCAATGCCAGTGCAGCTTCGATTTAGAGTCGTCCGCAAGCCAATCATATGCACATCGTGTTCCTCTTCGAGATGCGCGCTAGCATCGTCCCTTCGATGCCCTCATGTGGTTTGCAGCACGTCGGGAACGGTAGGTGCGGATGCTGCCGAGTCATTGTCTGCGTTTACGGGCGCAAAAGCTTGCCATTGCGGAAAATCGTCGAGGGTGAGCTCTCTCGACCAAGTCTTGAGCGCCGCCGGCGGAGTCGAAAGACGAACGGCCACACGAGTCCCCTGCATCGCGCCTTCATCGACGCATCCACAGAGCTCCATTGGAAGAATGGTGACGTCGAGCAGGGGCCTGGAAGCGATGGCGATTCCAAGGCTCGATAGAAACAAGACAGCACCTGTGAAACACCCAAGATGGGTGATGGCACTCAGCTCCAGACTCGGCACGCCGTCATCCGGAGTCGAGGACGGCGAAGCTAGCGTATGATGTGGCATCTCAAGAGTGACAGAAGTCCAAGGTGCCATCAACGCGCCTCTGCGTCGACGTGTCTCCCTATTTTCCCTCGATTTGTTGGCAAATTCGTGTTTTGGCACTACGTTGAGCAGCTCTCTGAGTCTGACGTCATTGTGCACCGCGTAGGCGCCCGGGTAACCTCTTGCAAAAGTCTGCCTGACTTCGCCCAGCAGACTTGTCATTTCTTGACCGAGCAAGTAAGGAAGCAGAACTTGACGATGCTGCTTCAATGGGACGTTGTACGTCGGATCAATAATGTGCTCGTCTTCGGGCACTCTTAAGCGAACGTGCGCATAGCGACGTGGCGGTGCGTCCGCCCTTACAATCTCCTTGCTTGGCATTGTCAACGTGTGAGCCCATGCTTGCAGCAGCATGAGCTCCGATTCCGTGCTTTTGCGGAGCTCCGCCCTCGTTTTGTACAGGTGCGATAGCATTGCGCGCGCCTTGTGCGCCCTCTTTGCCTCGTCTTTCTGCTGAAGCAATCCGAGGTATCCATTGGGTGACGCTGCATCGCCGTCTCTGTGCTGGGCTCCTTCTTGCTCAAGCAATCTGAGCTCTTCATCGGGTGACATTGCATCGCCGTCTCTATGCTGGGCATGAATGTCGTGTGGTTGTAAAGGCAATCCGCGTCTTGCTTCCGCGCGAGAATTCTCATTAGATGATTTTGCAGTGACTTCCCTGTGCTGGTCGCAGATATTGTGCTGTTTGGAAAGAAGCGTATTCACCTCCTGTTCTCGAGCATTCACACTTTCCGCAAGCATTGCAATTTGTTGAATTTGCAATGTTTGCAGGCTTCCCGGTCTGACGTGTTGGCTTGTGAGCTGTGCATTGTTGCCATGCTGTGCGTGTGACTGCAGCTGGGACGCCGATTCGTGATTGGGTTCTCCGCGCTGATTAGGTCCGAGCACAGACCCCAAAGCTCGTGCAAGGGGTGTACCTACTCCCAAGCCCCATCGATGAAATGTTAATTGTCGACCCTTCCGGTCAAGTATAATGTCGTAATTCGGCGAGGAGCCCCCGTGGAGAGTGGGTGTGCGCCCCCGTGACTGGAAAAGGCGAAAGTCGGCGATGAGAGCACTTGGCATGAAGTCTGACTACGCTGAGATCACTCACAAAGCTGTGCTTGGGCAGAGATGAAATGCTTCGCCCGCTCAGAGCCTCTTGGAGATTGAAAGCGCGACATACGGTCACGCGCATCTTGATGTTCTTCACACGCAGACTGTACACCTCTAAGTGATGAGAGGTGCCAGAAAGCACCTCTCGTTGCCAACTTGCCTTGTCTTGCGTTCGGAACTCGTGTAGCACTTTGCGACCTTCCTGCACGATCGAGTCGTGTGTCAAATGCTCCCATTGGCCCTCATCAAGTGCGGTCAGATTATCAGGGTCCACCTCACTTGCGAGCTGAGGCACGCCACGCTGCATGTTGCCTTTACCTTTGCCTTTGCCTTTGCCTTTGCCTTTGCCTTTACCTTTGCCGCGCTCGGTGATGTGCTCCGTGCTGTGCTCATCTGCGCCGCTACCTTCTTCTTCGTGCAGTTCAGGAACGCCAGACTTTTGTTCCTTTCCCCACGTCCCCCTAAGTATGCGCCACTCTGGTAGAGTGCGGGCTTTCTTCCGAGGTGCTGTCCACCAGTGTTTGGGTCAAGTAAGTATGCAAAGAGTCGCTGATTCGAAGACTGCGGTGCCGTTCATCTCTCACCATCGAGAACGTCGTCATGTGTGGCCGTTTCTGCTTCTTCGCGACGATTTTCAGTCAAAGCCGACTCGTCGCCTTCGTCCAATCCAGACGTGGCGAGTATGAGGGGCTCCGTCTTGAGAGCTTGTTCGCATAGCGCGCGCAAGCGGGCATCTTTGATGCTCTTCACAATGCTTTCCGTGCTACTCGGCAATGTGGCTGCCTGCTGGCTCTCGAGCACTTGCTGGTCAATGATGCTCGAGTCGCCGTTCATACTACTAGCGTCGAGGGTGCCTTACACTAAAAGGTGATGTATGCCACTGATGATGGTGAGTGGGGTAGAGTCGATGCATGCATCCCTGCTGTTCACATGCATGAGGCGCGTTAGGTCGCGTCTCGGACGCTAGGGACAGTCGCGTGAACATCGACCTCAGAGGGGCTTGGTGAATAGGGCGTGTCAGAGCTGGTGCGTGCAGACGTACTCGACTCCTCAGCGCAATAAAGTAGCCTGCGCAGACAAAAGACCTGAAATTGCCACAAGCTGAGATGCATGTGCATGGCGACCGCCGCGGCAGTATGTGGAGTGAAGAGTATGGCTCACTAAGCTTGTACCAACCATCCGCGTTTGCTTGGCCTTCCGCCGGGTGTGCCGACTCGCTCAAGATGTTGCACAGCCGCTCGTCAAATATAAAGCGAGGAGCTCCGATGCTTGATCAGACCCTCGGCGCTTTCGCAGGACAAGCAAGCTCTTGGAGATGCTCTGATTACTCACGTCTTGATCAGCCCACATGTCTGCTTGATGTGTGCCTGCTGTGTCGTCGCGTCCATAGCAAGTGGAGCTTATTCGGAGCCACATGGCCAAAGCAACCGGCAGGAGACGCGCCCCATCCCGGCCACTGAAGTCTGCTCTGACAACTCCTGCTCACTACTATGTCCACGCTCCAAACCAATGTCCTAGTCACGTTGCTCACCGACCACGGCAACGTCAGAAGACTGGTGGTCGGGAGCGCCTAGGCTGCTATGAGCAAATGTGGAAGCTATTCGGCAGCATCACCTTGCCAACGATACACGCTTCTATTTCTACAACTTAGCCCCTCTTTGCTTCTAGAACCTGCTAACAGGCCGTGAACTCCTTGAGCCAGCTATGATCACCAAGCCAGTCACCGTGCCAGCCACCCCATTTGCGATCACGCGCAACAACGGCTCAGATATGTCCTTCACAGGCCCAGTTGCTTGCCTTCCCCTGGCCATTGGCCTGACTGCTTACCCACTCTCTTCTAATGGAGTTGCTTTTGATCAGCAAGAGGGTTGCCAGTGGACAACCAAGCACAAGCTGTGCATGCAATGCTTGTCACCAGGATTGCGCATGGCGCAATACTTTGCCAAACAACTGTATGACAAGGACAGAGAGCAAGCTACCGCAGAGCCGCCTGGAGCTGCGCGCGCTCTTGCGCACTGGATGCGGAAAGAGGCAACACACGTATGTCTTGAGCCACCTTGGCTGGCCCCGTCCTCACTAGCAAAGACACGATGGTTGTGTGCATCCTCGCACAATCTCCCGCACCTGTTTCTGTTACGCACAATTGCTGGCGCTCCGACGTTCTGCGCTACCGTATTGAAGTTACAAGATTCGTCTCTTGAATACACACCTTGAGCTGGAGTCTTGTCGCATCGACCCCGAAAGCAACGCGGGAATTTTTCGTCGCCGTGACATGCCTTTCAGACAACGGCTCGGATTTAAATGTTTCCCCCCACAGTCGTGAGACAAAGAGGCAGGTATCGAGATACATGCAAGTATCAGACGAATGACCTTTGATGATGTTGTGCTACGCGGATTTCATAAAACACAGACTGGAACGCGCTCTACTTGTGAAGTATGGAGCTTGATGGATGCGGGTGTAAAGCTTCAAGGTGTAGCACCGTTGTAAGGCCGTCCACGGGGTGGCAAGCGTGGCTGGCCGGATATTTCAATCGAGAGTCGAGAAGCCGGATGACACGCGGAATTTCACAAATCAAGCTCATGATGATTCGAGACCTTGCCCCTGACACTTTGGACTACATTCGGTGCACGAGTCAAAGTGCGACGCACCCTTTGCTGCCTCGAGACTCGATGATTGAAGCTCAGAGTATGACTGCGACAGCTGCTCACTCAATTGCGATATGGTAATTGCTATACAGCTGCAGAAACAAAGCTCTAGGCTGCGGCAGTAAAACTTCGTTTGCCAGTACGCAAACTTTTTGCAGCGATTTCTGGGGCTTCTGCAATCGAAGTCGAGCCAATTGTGAAGATGGGTGAAGAGCAAGAAGTCTGTGAGCTCAGCATACTCGAGCTATACTCCATTTGTAAATAGACTGACTGATGGCGTTTTGTCACGGTCAGCGTGTTGACAGTCGAGACTGATCCAATCCAGAAGACGCGCAAAAAGAATGGCACAATCTGACTTCTGGTCGCATCGTACAGAAGCGTGGCAAAAGCATGGTGACATGCAAATATAAAGAGCCTAGTGTTTTAAGACGTAGGTAAAGCGTAACATGAGCAGAGCCGTGTTTGGGTGTATTACGTCGTCGAGTGCAATTCAGACTTCTTGTTCTGTCTCTGCGCGTCGCAGACTTGTCTCATCCGCACAACGTAGGGGAAGATTCTTCACGCCTCTCTGGTCGTGAAGGTCGCCTAAAAACGCGTCATTGCATCTTGCGGCGACAACAGTACACACCCCTCGGCCCGACGCGTCAAACTTACGAGCGCATCCACCAAACAGGGCTGCCGACGCGATATAGTGCCGTGTCTGGATAGCACACCATATGACAGACCAAGAGTGTACGCTGTAGCAGATGCTATCGAGTAAAGCAGTCCGGACAACAAGCCCGAGACAACTCAGCCTGAAATTGCTACGAGCAAGCGGCGAGGAAATGCTTTCGGCCGGCGTAGCTTGATCTCGCAAACAATTTAGGTGTCCATTACGCTCATCGGGCACGTGAATGCTGCGACTTATTTCGATCGACGTGTGGATGTGGCTTCACCCACTACTGTCACTGACTGTAATATTAACAGACCCTCCTCAAAGTATGGACCCAAAACGAGATAGGGTGTCGTTTCACAACAACCGCGGTACTATATACGGCTGCTTGACCGGAAACGGAATTTTGAGGCACTTTCCTAAGTAGGTGGCTCACAACTTGAGGCTCTTGTGACTGAAGTTTCAGACAGGTGGACCTCGTTTAGTGTCCCGATATCTTATATTCTGGAGATACCATTTGACATTCGGATGTCAATCCGCCAAATTGATGCTGAGATATTTTCGAGAGTGAGCTCCATGCCAAAGCGACCACCGTCTTCGCAGAATTTGAGGTCTTTGTTTGACAAAGAAACAAACTCTAACCCCTTTAAATGAGCGCCCACGGCTTCCTCCTTTGCATGAATTCTACAGAACTCCACATCTGGGCAAACAATTGCACCGAAGCTGTTGTGGCGGTTATTCGCATTCTTGAGTATTTGCGGGGAAAACAACCAAAACAGGCCAAGGCAAGCTCAGGTTTTTCTGAAATTTTCAAATAGCACGCGGCCCAAGGCTCCAAGAATTCGACGCCTCGCTCCTCAAGATTGAGATTATCACGATTCTCACGAATCGAAACAGAAGACAGTCACTGACCCTGAACAGCCCACAAAGCTCGACAATATTCCGGCGGAGTGGCCACCGTCGAGCTGAAAATTTATTTGCATCATCCCGTTTGCAAATGCCGATTTGCACGCTGACTATGATGTCTTTGGCATCAGTGAGACTGTTTCAGGCCGACAAAACACCATCCCATCATGAATCGCGTGTGCAGAGTCGTGAATGCCGTGATCACGCTGGAGCATTATCGAACGTGCGGGAAAGATGCGACCGAGCCCGATACATTGGACCTCGCTGCGGTAAGGCGGGGTCTCCACCCGATAAACGCACCTGTCTGTTTTAGCTAGGCGTCTGCATGATACTTCAAGGGAAGCCGTGCTTGTGGGGTACCATGCGTCGTTGTACGGATGTCTAATATTTCGAGCGACGGTCGACAGAGATAGTAGATCTACCTTACTGCAGCGTGCCTTGTCTCTGGTGTCAGGCCATCAGTGTCAATTAACCAGTCTTGTTGCAAATTTCTTCTGAAGCATAGTGAAGAGCAAAAAGAAACCAACCCCACCAAACGCGCGCTGTATTTCACAGCTGTCAGACTATGAAATGAGCTCTACTCAACTTTGCTCATCGCAGCACGCACGACGACCTGGCTGTGTTTTCCAATTGGGCCCAGATCCGTTTCAGGTCTGGATGTCTTTCTGCGGCCGACTTCTCTCCAACTGTGGCGCACTCTCAAAACATGATCTTGAGACTGGTGCGAAATGCACCCTGATGCCACGCAGGCGTGCTTTCTTCTCCAAGGCCAAAACCTTTTCGTTCGAGGGACCTATGAGTGCATAGCAACTGACTTTAGCACGGGCGATCGGATTCATTACGTGAACGCTTACCAACAGCCGCCCGAGCCCCAGCAGGATACAGTCCGCATCCCTTCCTGGCAGGGGCACTCCTCCATCACCGAGTCCTCCAGCGGCACTACCACCATTAAAGATCCAACTATGGTCACTGAACAAAAGTAATGCACAGAGTTGACATTCGCGACTTGCCGAGTCATTCAGGTTTGCTCGCGATCGACCGGGCGGGCGGGTCGGTTCGAGTTTGAAATTGTGAAATGTGCAATTCTGCGTATGCAGCACGTCAGCCATTCACATTTGTTCTTGATCACGAGGCGCAAAGCAAACGGTCATCTGAACACTTGCATTATGCGTGCTATGGAAAACCACTCTGTTCCATTCTGCTCCACAGTACATCGAGTTGATGAAAGAGTGTCAGGACGCAAAGCTTCCCGTTGTTCCAGCGAGTTCAAGCCATGATGTGATCACCAGACAAACATTGACCTACTCAAAGCCCTTGAAGTGAGTCGAAACTCAATGTAGTGGCTTGCAAACAATCAACTCGTTGACCTGATGTGCTGACCTCAAAAGTCTTTTGCATGCATGTCAGCACTGAGAACAGACACAACTGCAAGCGCTCCCCTTCTAGCTTCCTTCTTGCTCTCGCCTAGAGAAGAAAAGGCAAATTGCTGGCATTCGTGCAGTCCACAGATTTGGCAAGAAACTTGTTGTTGCTGCAACTGTTGTTGGTGTCATTCTAAAAGCCAGATGGACCACCAAAGCAATTGCCAAGGGGGCATTAAATGGTGCGCCACACGTACGGCCACAGCACTCCTCGCTGACATGGGTGCGGCGCGCACAAGGCGAGGGCGCCTTTCTCGAGGTGCATATCATGGAAGCGTTGCAAAGGTAGAAATGCCTGGCACTTGCCCTGGCTTGCGCTCTTGAACCCCCTTCCCCATTATCTCCCCTGTAATCTCTTCAAGGTGCATACTTTCGACTCTCTGCTCTCTTCCCTTGCTGACCCTTCTCCCTCTTGCGCCCCATCTTGCAGATGACTAGATTGTACGATTGCAAATCACGGGTCCAATTTTACCTGCACCCTAAGCGCGGCGGAGGCTCAAGAGGTCCGCACCTTCATCCACCCCTTGCAACACGTGCGTTCTTGTTCACCGGTAGCCGCATGGCCTTGCTGCTTACCGCAAGTTCTTTCTACTCTTTTAGCACAACCGTTCAAGCTATCACAGGCACAGCGCTCCTTATCCTCAAGCTGCAGCTCCCTTCTGCTCCTTTTGTCCACCTCCCACTCTTGTCGCCTCCTCCTGCTCCTCTGCCCCTCCTGTTGTCTCTGCCCGTGCTGTTTCCTCTGTTCCTGGTCCCAACAACGCCCGCAACAGGGAGCGGCGCGCAGCAGCAAAGGAAAAGAAAAGACAGGGCAAGCGCAAGCGTGAGCATCAATCGTGCATCAACATGCCTCCTCAACTTGGCTGACTTGCCTGCTTGCCTCAGAACGCCATCAAGGTCTGGCAAAAAATGGATCCTTCTAGCAAGTTTCTGCATCTCCACAAAACCATGAAGAGCTGCCAAGCCATTGGGACCCTTGCTAAAGAGCTGGAAGATGGTTTTATGGATGTCAATGCCATCATATCAGAGCATGATGTGCCCGCTACCTGCTTGTACCTTGCAGCAGAGCTCTCTGTGGAGGAAGCAAGCCGACGCTCACCCCTCGAGCTGCCGCCGCCGGATCCACTTCCCGCCTACCGATGCTCACCCCTTGAGCTGCCGCCGCTCCTTCTGCCGCCCTCGCTGCTCGCCCTCGCCCCCGCACCTCCGCTCCTGCCGCCGCTCCTTCAGACAAGGGGAAAGGTTGCGCTCACAGCCCCTCTCCTCACTCAGCACTATCTTCACCTCCTGCTCCCACTGTCCCAAAGAAGAGCAAAGGGAAAGGGAAAGCTGCCACCGTCAAGGATGCAGGAGAACCTTCTGCTCGTGGCCGCGGCTGTGGTCGTGGCGCTAGGCAAGGCGGCACTCAACGAGGCGGCAGTCGTTGCGCCCCAAGAGCAGGCAAGACTGCGTCCACCCGCAAGCAGAAGATCACTGCAAGTGACAGAGGCTTTGAGGCTCTGTGTGATGAGGATGTGCAAGAGGCAGCACAATTCCTATACTCAGCAAACTGGGGCCTGTCCCTGCAGCATCAGACGTCCACGGCTTTTGACTGAGCTCTGCGCAAGGACATTGCTGAGGTGCTTGGGGTCATGGCTCTTGAGCTAGAGTGCCGCCTGGAACCCTTGCTGACCCTTCTCTCCCTTGCCACCCTCTCTTGCATGCCCTCTCCCAGATGAGTCATGTCACAGTCCAGGGTCTTGGCCCAAATCTCTTGTACAACCTGACAGAGGCAGAGGCCAAGCAAGTCTGCAATTTTGTATGCACCTTGCGACACGTGCGTTCTTGCTCATCCAATGGTGCATGTTCTCACTGCTTACCAAAAGTTCCCTTGACTACTGTAGCACAAACAGCAAAACCATGCAACATTCTACACGCAAGGCAACCCTTATCCTCAAGCCCCAGCTCCCTTCTGCTCCTCCTGTCCCTCTGCCACTCCAATTGTCTCTTCCTGCTCCTCTGCCCCTGTCCCTGGGCCCAACAACCTCCGCAACAGGGAGCGGTGAACGGCAGCAAAGGCAAAAAAAAAAAAACAGGGCAAGCGCAAGTGTGAGCATCAATTGTGCATCAGTATGGCTGCTCAACTTGGCTGAATTGCCCGCCTGACCACTTGCAGCCTCGCCCCCTCCAAAGGACACGCCAACTGGTCCCAAGGCGCAGTCAAGTGAGGCACCTCAGGCGTTGTCAAACGTTGTGCTCGACATGCTTTCTGACGTGCTTCTCTGCGACTCTACAGGCAACTCTGGCAACACGGGTGACAAGCCTGATCCCGCCCAAGGGCAAACTCCTGGTGAGCATCGCGCATCCATTGTTGTCATTGTCAATGCACTGCTCACATGCTCTTTGTTTGGCAGCTACCAACGGAGCAAATGCTGGCAAGAAGAATGCCAGCGCCTGGCAGCTCATCTTCGAGTGCCACGCACATGAAGCAAAGTGCGCATGCAAGGTCTTGACCACGCGCCAGTGGCAAAGGTCAGATCTGATGATATTGGCGGCCAAGGAGACGCGCCTCTTGCCGCTGAGTGCACGATTCATCCTATGGGCACATTTAGACATCCCAGCAAGGACGTTGTTGCTCATCCTCTTGAAGTTGCCAACGGGTGCGTCGAGGTCCATGTCAGCGTGATGGGCCTCTGTCAATGCCATGCAGCCCGGGCTGTCAACCTCCATCATGGTCTCAACTGCTTCGGAAACCATGAGATTGTCCACCTCCATTGAGTTGTCCTCGATGTTGTCAGCAAGTCAGTGTCCTGCAAGGTTGAACGCTGAAGCATGAGGACGATATCCTCGAGATTGTCTTGGCAAGATGGCAAATCCGCCACGGTAAGGAGAGCAAGGGCCTCGGCAGTGTCCTTGATGGCAATGGGCAGGCTGACCAAGACAGTGTCCAGCAATTCCCCTTCCAAGCTGAGATCCTGAAGAAGCGTGACTAGATTGTCGAGATCCTCTCCGATGGGCAACTCGGACAAAGAAAGAGCACCAAACGCAGGCGGGGATTGCAGGAGCTCAATTGACATCTTGTTGGTTGCGGCCAATTCCAAAGTGTCGTCGGTCGCGGTCGATTCCGAAACGCTTTCAATCGTTGGCGAGGCAGCGCCACAGGCACGGAAGGTACGGCTGCGTGCAACAGTGCTGTGCGGTCCTGACAGATGTTCACAAGCAGGCAAAATAGATGCTAAAGTCACTACCAAGTACTTCTAGCGGTGTGCCTCCTCCTCAATGCCTCACGCAATCTCACCTTCTTGCAACCCAGTGTGTGCATACAAGGAAGTGCAAGCCAAGTTGTCAATTGTGCGTGGGCAGGTCAGTCATGGTATCAAGGAAAGAGAGTGAGCGGTCAACTAAGATACATGTAGTTGCGCGCTCCCACAATTAGGAAGTTGACAAGGCATTTGGAGGCGAGTCAGGCGCACCTCAGTAGGGTGCTCTAAGCGATGAGCTGGTCTCCAAGGTCCTTTTATGGTGTGATTGGGTCTTCATCCTCTTGCCTGCGTGCCACTCCTTGGGTAGAGCTCTTTCTGCTAGAGCGTGCTGAGAGCTGTCAGCCCACCAAGAAGCACGGCGGCAGAGCCGACAGCAGCCAAGGCAAGCAGCTGCAAGCCGGATCAGCGGCCTGTGGGCAGCTGCTCAGTCTCTGGCAAGACTGCCACTTCCAGATTTGCCAGCATTGCCTTCGAGGCACCTTTCAGGTTGACCTTGCGACTCTCCATGTCCAGCAGGGGACCAAAGACCATTGAGGAAAGTCGACCCTTTGGGTAGCGCTTGCACGGCACAAAGCGCAGGTCCAGGTTGTAACAAGGAATAGCGCTTGGTTGCTTTGGCAAAGGTTTTGACTGGCATAGACAGAATTTGTTGGTCAGTGTGAGCAGTGGTGGTCAGCACGTAGACAGCATAAGAAATGATGTCTCCTTTCAAGACGCCCATCTCTGTCCAGATGAGCTGGCTCTCTTCACGGTAGGCTGATGCCGGGCGTATGGCAGCGCTTTGCGAGGTCTGTTCAAGCGCTTTGATGCCACTCAATAGCAAGTTTGACATGGAGCTGGTCTGAGCGCTGGGCAGTATTGGTGTTGCTTCCACAAACCTCCAGAATGGTTGCTTTGGCAGCCACAAGCCAAGAAATGATGTCTCCTTTCAAGACGCCCATCTCTGTCCAGATGAGCTGGCTCTCTTCACGGTAGGCTGATGCCAGGCGTATGGCAGCACTTTCCAAGGTCTGTTAAAGCGCTTCAATGCCACTCAATAGTGCATTTCAAAACTCTTGGCTACCATCATCTGCATCTTCTCGGATCATCTTGAGCTGCAAAACCATTGCTTGGCACAATCGCCTCATATGCTGGTTGGCAGCCTGCGCAAATCAAGCTAGAGGATGAGCTTGGTGGTCGGCTTCCCCAATGACGCTTTGGTCCAACTGCTGTTGTGTGGCCATGCCCGTGTCAGCAACTTGTCAATGGCTTTGATGGTGCAAAAGAATACAGATCTAACACAAGATTAATTCACAGCTCAAGGATTGCCACTGGACTGCAACTCTGGTGCAGAAGGAATTCCACCCTCCGTTGACGTTGTTGCCTGAGCATCTGCCTCCCCCCTGCTCAACAGTTGCCACTGTCAACGGGATGCTGAGGACTTTGAGTAGAGAAGTGTTGCCTTGCTTGATGTCTCCACCCAACAGTGACAAGCCTGCATGTGACCTTTCCACCAACCTTTCCATTGTCCTATCCATCTTCCTCTTGGTCAACAGTCACCACTGTTGATGAAGACGCTGGGGACTTTGTGCAAGAGAAGTTTGCCTCAGTCTATGTCTCCATCAACAGCGACAAGCCTGTATGCAACCTTTCCATCCACCGTTCCATCCACCGTTCTTGCACTTCTTCCTGCTCCCCTCCAGTCCATCCTGCTTTCCTTCAATTTGTCCTGGTTTTTGCCGCCTTGTTCTGCCTTCCTCCAGGCAATGCTTTTGCCTCCAGTAGTGCTCAGCTCTGGGATGCTGGTAATCTATTTTTGGTGCTGGAGGCACCACAGTCCGCCAAGAGCTAAGGTGGCAGAGCTCATGACAATCTCAGCAATGCGCCATGAGCTCATTTTGTCTGGCTTCTGTTCCTCTTCTTTGTTGAAGAACTGCGGTGGGCAAAGAAGTTGATCAGCACAAATGGACATCAAGAAGACTGAGTCAGCTGCCGTGTACCTTGCAGTTCTGGCCGCTGGCCAAAGATTTGTCCAGAACTGCGGGCAAGGGCGTTCATTTGCGTGCAGGAGTGAGACAAATTGGCAATCCGACCGTTGTCGCAGCCTGCAGTCCAAGTCCTGGCAATGCCAGCCAGTTGCTTCCGCAAGTGTTTGCAAGAGGGGCCTGACAAGCCACAGGACTAGCAACCATGAGGTTGGTGGTGCTGCCTGCCACCTTGACAGGAGCTGGCACCCTGGCATCTGCCGTACTGCAAGAGTGTGCGGCTTTGTCAAGGATGCCGCCAAGCACGCCAAGCTCCTGAGGCAGGTCCTTGGCTGGGCTGGCGCGGGCAGTGCGCAAGACTGGGACAACCTTCTTGAAGGTGGGACTGCCAGCCAGCTTGACCGGAGTGGAGGTTCTGTCCTCCTTGGTGTCACTCGGAGCAAGCGTTGTCAGCAAAACGCAGGCCGGAAGCATCTCTTCTGAGACGCATGGTGGTATGCTGGCCAATTTAACCGGTGTAAACATTGGTTCCTGTTCCAAAACGCACGTCAAAAGCAACTCACCAGAGACACTTGGGGAGCGCATCTTGTCGGAAGCACACCTCGGAAGCATCTCCTCCTGGGCGCAAGTTGATTTTTTTCTGGCAAGTTTGACCAGAGAAGGAGCATCTTCCTGCTCAGAGTTGCTTTCATCGGGCATCTCTGGCAAAACGCACACTGGAGCTGTCTTGTCAGAGTTGCGCATAGAGACTCTGGCTCCAAGGCACACTCAGTGAGCATCTTTGACAAAGCGCATTCAACAGGCGCTTTCTTTGTCTTGAGGCGCAATGAGCGCAAGCTTTTTGAGAGTTTCAAAGGGGCTTTAAGAGCCCCTTTGGCCGTTTTGACGATCTTGGCAGATTTGCCTTTGGTACTGGGCTGAGATACATTGACATTGCAACAAACAATGAAGTCAGTCACAAGACGTAAAATTAAGGGCAATGTCATTACAAGGACATAACAAGTACAACTCACCTCACGACTGTACTTCTCGTGGGGTAGGCAGTTGCGGTGACCGCAATCCTGTTCAAATCACAAGACAATGATTGGATCAGATCAGCACAGGCTGACCAAGTTGCAGAGGCAGTCAAGGCTATTGCTGATGTTAAACAAAGTACCCTTGTTCGTTCTCGTTTGTTCTCGTACTCCTCTCTGCGCTCCCAACCCGACCAGCCTTTCCTCCCGCCCTTTCCTCCCGCTTCCTCCTGCTCCTTCTCTCCACCTAGCCTGACTCCAACAACACGCCCCCCCTCCTTGCTTTTGATGTTACAACCTTGCCCTCAATCCCTCCTTCTTCTGCACCTCTGATGCCACCCCTGCGGACCATGTTGAAATGCCAAACCTGTCCTTGACATGAATCTCTTTCTCTTTCTTCTCTGATGCGTGTAGCAAATGTGAACCTCTTTCTCTTGTTCTCCGATGCTTGCAGCAAATGTGAATCTCTCTTTTTTTTTCTGATGCGTGTAGCAAATGTGACTCTCTTTTCTGATGCGTTGAAAATGCAAATTATTCCTTCTGGTGCGTGTTCCACAGCTGACGTCGTGCCAGCACTCACGATCAGCTCCTGGCAAGTCATGCACAGGCACACGCGCTGCTCACCTTTTTGGCCACCTCGTTGGCGCCGCTGCTACTATCCGCGCTTGCTCGCACGCTTGCTCGCACGCACGCACGCAGCTCTACCCAACTTGCCCACTCAATGCGCCCCCCTTGCCATGGCTTTCCAGCTCATCATGTTTGTCTGTCAGAGCCAAGTCCATGGCATACATGTGCAGCTGGGACCAACCGCTTCTTTCCGGCCAATTGGTATTGTCCAACCACTCATTCCTCTTGAGCACAATGGCATCTTCCAGATGCATGAGGCCTGCATAAAAGTGCGCCTTGTGGCACACAATGCACATCACCTTCTTATGCAAAAGGGAAGAGCTTACAGTCCTTGATGTGGGGCAACCTCCAGGCCAAGCCACGTAGCTGGAGATGCTGTCTGCATCCAGCTCAATTGTAGCGACCAATGTCTGGAATGTTGTGGCAGCCAGCGCAGAGTGGAGAGCAGCTTTAAATCACTCTGCCTTGCTGTCTGTCCTTGCATCCTGCCCAATGTTTCTGGCATCATCGCTAGGAATAATGTCCCTAAAATAGGCAGAAGTGGTGGCAACGCTGTGCATGGCTCTCTGCACTGCACGCCACTGCCGCTCATTGCCACACGCTTGCAAGGCAACAACGCGGTATCCGCAGTTGCCATCACCAACAACATTGCGGAGCCAAGAGCTCAAGCCAATTGTTTCTAGAGCTTGCACTTGGTCAGGCATTGCAATTTGCGCAAGCTCAAGCTGAGCTGGGATTGGACGCATTTCCAGGTTGCTGCCGTGCATCATATTCCAGCCCACTCTCTTGAGCACTGGCAACGCATTCCACACAACATCAGCTGGAAGCTGGATGGTTTTGATGATTTCACTGGGCAAAAGTCCCGCCTGATCCGCGGCACCACCCCGCACTGCTGCCCAAGAAATTTCCACAGTGGGCAAGGTAGGATGCTGCACAAGAAACTTTTCCAGTCTCCTGTCTACATACAACCAGTTCAAGCAGAACAGGTGCAAGGTCTTGGCTTTTGGCTTGGCTTGCAAGCTCTGGATGAGCCAGCACCTTGCCTAAATCCTGCGCAACAGGTTCAAAGCTTGGTGTTGCCTCAAATTGATATGCATCACTGGCCACCTTCAGGGCAGCGTGCGTCTTGTCAATGGTTGCAGATTTGAGCTTGACCTTTGTCAGAGCAAAAAGCCGTTCTGGTTGTTACTTTCCAAAGTCCCACATAGGGCAGCTATTGTGAGACCTGCTGACCAAACAACCTTCATTGTAGCACCTTCAATTGGTGAGGGCAAGGAGCAAGCCTCTTCCCTGGCTTGCATACAGATGGACGTCTCTGCTCCAACTGACTGAATTGCTTTGTTTGTACAGGCTCAGCTTCACCAGCAGCAAAAGCGTGCTCCTCCAGCGTTGCACAAATACACGCAACGCCCGACCAGAAAGGGCAAATTTCTGGGCAATGTCCCCCTCAGCATCAGCAGTAGCAAACGCGCCAACTAAGGTACTTTGCAGATGTCGTTCTGTCACTTTCACCACAAACGTCACTGCTACCCGCCCTACAATCTGCAAGGAACCATCCCTTGCCTCTTGTCCTCAGCCTTACTAGGACGTTGTCCTTTGCAGACTCATTGGGCCTCTTCAAGCTGGATCAGCTCAAAGCCCTTTGATGATCAAAATTTGAGCTTGCAAGGATGCTTGATTGACCTCAAGCACATCAAAGGCATCCATGCGCCCTCAGTCTGCACATTGGAGCGCAGACCTCTCCGGCCAGTGGATGTCTCACAGCGTGTGGCCGGATAATACAAATGATAACAATAATTGGTCCGGACAGAGAAAATGAACAGTGGTGAAAGCAGACAAAGAGGCACCATAGACTCACCCATAACCAGAACGCCGCAAGGAATGCCAATGCTCAGTGAGAGCAGTTGTTGGATCCACCAGATTTACAGGAATCAGAGCTTGGCTCAGTGTGCAGTGCATTGCCATCACCTACATCCCCCAACTTTGCTTCACCCGCCCCTTGTGCGTTCAAAGAGAGGAACAGAGCGCTTCAAAGATTTCAAAAGAGAAGGCAAGAGTGCACATGAATTGAGGAGACGACCTCCCTGCCCAGCTGCCCTCACTGCCATTTGAATCCAACACTGGTCTAGATGAGTTGACTGCTGCACTTGACACTGTTGAATGGCTCGTCGGCCAATCCTTTGGTCAGCGTCATGCAGAAGTCATCGTGAGCAATCTCTCGGCATTGCTCGAAACTGCCCTCAGCAATTCATTTCTCAGCCAGCGCCCACAATCTTCCTTTGCGCTTTGCTCTATACACTTACCTCTATTATTTTGCCTTTCTCCTGGCCTTTGGCGCACACATGACAACACCACTGTGCATCGATCGAACACTGCTCTTCGACACTCACGACTATCGCCATCACTCGTGCTTTGATAGCTTTCTGATCAGCGATTGACGTCTCCCGTCATTTGATTAGCAGACGTAAATGACTTCCCTTGACATTTATAGAGAAGACGTAGGTTTGTAGAGCTGACACATGACGTGACTCGCTATCCCCAGAGGACATCGACGCGCACCCTCATTCGTCCCCATTGCGTCATTGCAGCGCAATCTCTTGACTCCCAACTCCCGCCGCACGTCAGAAGGTGGATGGTAGCACGCGATTTTGCAGCAGCTTTTCCCGAGATCGTGCAGTTTGTCATCGACAACGAAGCAGTGACTTACTCGGGCCATCATCCGATCGAAGGCATCTTCATCGCCAAGACATGGGGTCGTCCTTTTGGTTTCACTTGTTTCGACCTCGTCACTAGAGCGCCTGTCGAGCCGTCGTTCACTTTGCCAAGTGACGCTGGAGCTGCTGAGGTCGGCGCAGCAAACAGTGCGCCACTTGGGGCGAGCGACGTCGATCTTGAGAATGGAGCGACGATCCACCCGTCCTTTGCTCTGCCAAACGACACAGAAGTCGGTGCTGAAGGTGCAACAACGGCGGTGGAACGCGAGATGATTCTCGTCTCAAGCAGTGGGCTGGCTTACAGGCATACAACCACGATGGCGAAAGCGAAAGCTGGACGTGTGCTGACCCAAGTCTTGAACACGGCTTCGTTGACTCAATCGCACATCACCATTTCTTCTATTACAATTACAATTGCAGATTGCGCTGCACTATCGATAACGTCTGATAAGGGTGGATCAAATGCTGCGCCATGCGCCGAGTCGGTGAATTTTGCGGTACGTTCGTGCAGCAGCAAAGTATGACCATCTAAGGGCTGCATTACGCAGTCGCTTCTGCGGAGATCACTCCATGGTAAGCACTCCCAGAATATGCTAACACAAGAACCAAAGCGGCTGGCCGACTCAAAGGTCGTGTTCCTTCGCCTCGAGATCCGAGCACGATGGCCAAGATTTACAGTGGTCAGGGTCGAACCGATTGGGCCGGCCCACATTACGGTGTGTCTACTGGACCGTCTGACATCGCCTTGATTGTCAGATGCCGAACGAATTGAGCTGCTGAGAGTGCTGATGTTGTGGCGTTTGCGGCTGCTGAAAGCTGAACTGCTGATTCTGGGGCGTTTGAAATCCTTGACTTGGCAATCCCTGCTGGCGTGCTTGATGCATCTGGAATTGTGGCTGATGCTGCTGCTGCTGCTGCTGCTGCTGCTGCTGACTCATCTGCTGAGCGGCCCCAGGTAGGTGCTGTTGTAGCTGCTGCATGAAGATTTGCTGCTGGTGTGGGGGCACGTTGTTAAGCATACCGTTCTGCATCTGAGCTAGGAATTGCTGCTGCAACGATGGATTTTGTTGGAGCGCCGCAAAGTTGATGGGCGGTACTTCTTGTGCGGGCATACTCCCATTGTGTAAGCCAGCTTGTCCACCAGTGGAAAGGGCAGGAGACTGTTGCGACTGCCCTGGCCCAAAAGAGATCGATCCTCCAAATGACTGGTGCTGAGGGGCCAAATCCGGGCTGCTTGCAGACATTCGATTGGGTGAAGCTCTCGCTGGCCCATTCATAGCGACGCCGGACGCTGCAGACTGGTCCCCAGGTCCCTGTCCCATCAGTTGAGTCTGCGCACGACCGTGCTGCTGCTGGAGCTGGGCTTGAGTACGCACGAGCGCTTGAAGCTGAGCAGCAACGGGCAACGCTCGAAAGTGTGGCTGGGTGGACTCCATGTACTGCACCAGGGGTTGGGGCTGATCCTTGCTGTGAGCTTGCAACATGTTCAGCAAGCTGAGTGCAGAGGGTCCAAACGTCTGCGTGAGAGCTTGAATTTGCTGTGGAGTGGGAGCAGAAGTGGAGGGCGCGGGCTGTCCGGGGCGAGGAGCAGCGTGTTCCCCGGCGTAGCTTTGCCCAGGAAGTTGTGTTTGATTTGACGGAGGGGCTTGCTGTGTCGGCTGGGGAGGACTGGTGCGCGTGCCCGGTGACCATGTCGGTGTATTTGATGAGAGCGCTGCAGTACCTGCAGGCGTGGTGTCATGGGCAGCAGATTGAAAGACACCATTCTGGCTCGCGATCGAGGTGGCTGCAAGTTTACTGCTCACTGGTGAAGGCGCCGCAGGCGGGCCGGCAGAGGCATCCGATGGCGAAGGCTTGTGGGCTTTGCGACTGTCTTGTTCCTGAGACGGTTCGCGGGAGCGCTTTGTGGTCGTGCTTGCGCCGGATGGAGGCAACGAGTCATGCTCGGCGGATGCTGCGCTGAATTTGGCACCCGCAACCGCTGCCTCTGCTGCCCTTCTACCCGCCGCAATGTCGAACGTTGCGATGAGCTGAGCGTAGAGAGAGGGCAGCATGGACTCGGGGACATGAGAGGAGTGTGGAAAGGGCTCGGCACGCGGAGGTGGGGGAGCAGCTTTGCCATCAATTGCCGGTTTGGCTGCCCTGTCGGCCATAGCTGCAAGGAACGCTGCGCAGTGTGGTCGCGAATCGGGCGGGGAGCGTTCAGCTGCAGTTGCAAGGCGCATGATGTCATGCTGTTACGCACACAAGTTTGACGACAGTCTAAGGCCTGCTTCGCGGTACACTGGCTCTGAAGCGAGGCTGCGCTGACCCAGGTCAACGCAGAGCCTAGGCCAGCAAGGTAAGACAGAAGCACGGAAAGGTCGGCGAGCGTCAGCGTGGCGAAGGAGCGCAGCTTGGCAAGTTTGGAGAAGGGGGCAACCAGCAAGCACGACGCACCTGATGAGCTCCTTGTTGATCTTGAGCACCAGGCCGATGCGAGTGCTGGCGACTTCTCTCTCCGGCGTCGTTTCATTGCTGACACCATTCGTAGGCGAGGAGGTGATCTTGACTTCGGCCTTGATCGTTGCATCTTTGGGAGATGCAACAGGAGTTGAGGAACCGGCGTCCGCTCCAGTCGCGGGCGGCCTGGCGTTGGATGGGGCCGGTGTATGCAGTGCGCTCGCCACAGCCCTTGGAGGCGTGTCCGATGGAGCGGTAGAGGCCGTTGCCCTGGCATCTGCAGCTACCGGCAGAGCAGCTTGGCTTTTTGGTGCTGCCACTGCGTCGGACGGCAAAGGAAGCGGATCGGCTTGCGCTGGCTTGATCGACGCAGATGACTGCCCCGCCGATGCCGATGAGCTGGAGGCTGAGGATGGGACGTCCTTCGGAGGACTCGTCGAGCCGGGAACGGATGAGTGAGACTGCGGCTGAGGAGCTAAGAGTGAGCCTTCTCGATTTGCTGGCAGCGGGGCATCCTTCTCGGCTGCAGCTCGCGGTGTTGCAGCGTTCGCCACTACTTTCTGGGACACGGCATCATTCGAATTGTTCTGCGTCGGGTGGACAGGATCACGACGACTCGGTGCAGAGGCAGCGTTTGTGACCTTTTCCGTGCTTGACGATGATGGAAGCGAGGCAGATGCTGCGACGTTCGCCTTGCTGCTAGCATTGGCAGCTGATGCGCCTGCGATCGAGGACGGGGTGGCAGCGGCGGAAGAGGGATGAGGCGAAGAGGCGGCGGTCGCAGTAGAGGTGGTGGGGATGGCGCTGGCGTGCTCGCTGGCCAGTGGAGCCGTCGACATACTCGAGGACCAAGAGGTGAGGGAAAAAGAGGGGCGCGGGGTTGACAAGTAGAAGTTGTGTGGGGCCCCAGCAGCGATGTGAATGGAGTGTGAATGCGAGTGTGGATGTGCACCCTCCTTCCGAGTTGTGCCGTGGCGGTGTGCGTGTGCGTGTGCGTGTGCCAAGTACGTTGGAAAGGTGGATGGGATGGGATGGGATGGGATGGGATGGGATGGTCTGTGCGCAGCGTTGAGGAATGGCTGATGTCGGTCAATGTCTGGAGGGCCTCGGGCCGAGTTGGAGGAGACCGGACGTGACTGACCACTCAGACTCAACTGGAGCCGGGTGTTGCGGCGAAAAGCTTTGAGCTGCAATCACGTGAATCGTGAATCGCCAATTCGCCAGTCGCGAGTTTGCTTGGCTTGGCAGGCTGCTGATGAGCGCGAATCTTGAATGTGAAGGCGATTGATTATTCAAATTGATTGCGGTTATTTTTTGATCTTTGGAGCGTGACTCCTGCAATACTGTAACAGTCAAAAGTTGGACAAAGCATCGATTCAACTCGAGATTTGAACGACTTACCACTTGTATGGATGCGGACTAATCGGCGGGCAGTCATCTCCACCTACCAAGCCGCACGCCACGCATCCATTCCTTGATTCGTGATTGATCATTAAGTCGCGGTATCTGTCAGGCAGTCAAGAGTATACGCGTGTGCTGGGCGCGCGCACGCACGCTTTGCGATGGTGCGATCGCGGCTGTGCAACTCAGGCAAGAGTCGTGATTCGTGATTCTGATTGCTGCTGCTGCTGCTGCTGCTGCTGCTGCTGCTAGATGCGCGCGGCCGGGATGCACGCATGCAGCAGCCTCTGCGCCGCACGCGTCGCGCCCCCGATATGGAGTTGCGAATGTTCCGGATTGTTCGAGAGATTGCAGCGCACCGCATCGATCAATCTCACCATTCACACTCACGACTCACGCTTCACGATTCACGTCCAAGCCAACCATACTGGATGGTCCCTGAACGTTCCTTGGCATTCATCTCTTCGGCAGGGCATACACCCTGAATCTACACTATGCGCTACATGGTCATTCGATACTGCTCGTTTGCCATCGAGCATGCAATCGTCATTTGCGAACGCACATCAAGCGTCCACTTTGACTCGGCGCGCATTCTCAAAGACGGATTTAAGACGCCGTCGAGACTGTACCCACAACCGAATCGCCTGCAAGAGTCCGGGCGATGATTGTACCCAAATTCAGCACCTCTTTCGCGTGTGCGGCAAAGACAGCCATGCAAGCGACAATCGCATCCACGAATAAAAATGGCCGGCGGCTCGGCTTCGGCCAGGGCGTGGCTTGGCAAATGCGGAGATACTGCTGTGCAACAGTTTGAGTCTCGAGTTTTGAGTTCGAACAGAGCAAAGCTGCTCGGGCGAACGGGTCAGCAAATCAAGGATCTGGCAGCATTCGATTCAAGCTCCACGCCCTTATCATGAAGAACTCTTGACTCACAACGTTGCTTCTTCCGCTGCTGCTGCTCTAGTGTTGAGTGCACGACGTGCACTGTGGTCATGTTCATGACTATCCAGTCGACGTGTGCGTCACGCGAGTCTCAGAGGTACATGGCGAGCGAGTCACGAGTACAACTTCAAATCACGTTACACGAGGAAATCACACTCGTCAAGATCAGACTCCACTCACGACTCATCAAGACGCAAACGATAGACACCAAGCTCATTCACGATGTTCTATTTGCAGAATGGCGCTCAATTTTACGCTGCCTTGTCTGTCTGGCCGTGACGCAGATGGCAACGCTAACTCATCCGTGGACATGCGCAACGGTCGGCCGAGCGCCAAGGCGTCAGCTTAATTCACGATTGCATGCAGCAGCAATACTGTAATCAAGAATCTGAATCAGACTCGCATGGAATGCCTGCCGTGCATCATCACATGCTGCTGCTGCAGTGTGAGTGCATATGCCTCGCTCTTCGCCCAGCATATGCAGCTTACTGCCGCGGCCGGCTGCCAAGCATCTGCCGGTCGATCGCCGATGCAGCCAGAAGCCAAAGCGCTCTCTCATCTCCACCGTCGACTTGCAACTTGGCCTGCCACGCCGCGCGACTGCGATGTCGAGCTACGGCACTCGCTCCGAGTGGTGAGTGGTGAGTGCCGTGGTATAGTCAGTGAGTGGCCACGAAGGGGACGATTGAGGCTTGTGGGTTGCTGTATCCGTGCTGCTGATTCCAAGCATCTGTGTATCGGCGCCCAGACTGTACACAATCACGAGCACCGCACATTTGCTGCTCCGGTTGACCGACTGATGAGGTGTGCAGGAACTCCGAAGTGGCGCCGAGCGGAGCTGCCTGCGCGTGGATTGAGCCAGCGGGGGGTCTACCTGGAGGCGTCGACCGGCATGTTCACTTGAAGTGGATCTGTCTCTGCGGTCGATCGCTATACTTCTTGAGATACCGTTCAGCCGTCAAAGTCAAGTAAGTGGAGTACTCGTGACTCGCGACTCGCGACTCGTGACTCGTGACTGAGACTGTAAGCCATGCCTCTGACTAGTATGCTCAACCTTATAATCTTGAATCAGAATGTCCGCATGACGGGATCGCAATTCAAGCCCCAATTCGGCATGCCAGGAGATTAAATGCACCGCGTGCAGCGGGCAGTAGGAGAGAGGAAGCCTTTGTAGATGCAGGTTGCGGATGCATTTGGGACGGATGAGCTGAGCCTATATTTGGGGGTGATGCGATCGATGCATGGCATCAACGCGCAACGCGCAAGGAGCAAGAGAGTCAGAGTCAGTCACGGTCACGAATCTTGAATGAGAAAGTGTGAGTGTTGATGCCTGCCTGGCCATCCCGAGCAAGCAGCAGCAGCAATGTGGATCAAGAGCAAGCAGCAGCCGGCATCTCCGCACGCACGCAAGACGCCGCACAGCTGTGAATGTGTCACCGTGATGAGTGAGGGAGTGGGAGTGGCGCTTGCTGCTGCTGCTGCGTGGTGGAGGGGAAAATAGCACATCGGCATGACTGTTCCGTCGATGGCGGAGCTGGAATCGCAATCTGCATGCATTGCCCAGAAATGGTCAAAAAGGTTTGGCATCGCGGCACATCCATACATACATATACCGCTATACACACCGTGCGTCCACCGTCGCCGCGGCTTGCCCTTCCCGCCCTCGTTGATCCCCCGCACAAGTTCTTGTGCTCATCGACACCTCTTGCTGATTGACAGCGATTCGGCTTTATTCGCCCAAAGGCATCCTGACAGAGCACTCGCTCGCTCATCCTTTTGCCGTCGCTCCTTCGTGTCCTTCGACGACAGATCGACCTTTTCCCCCCTTCACGGTGATTGGCCCCCTCTTACGCACACGACTTCGCTGGCTCGATCTGGCGCGGCACCACCATCACACTACACTCACTCTCTTCCGCCGCTCGCTTGTGACATTGGCAGCGGCCATCCACACATGTAGTCAGCATGAACTACCACACTCCTTCAGGTTCTCCTGTTCCCAACGGCGAGATGTCGCGCGCCGACATTGCTAGAGCCGCTTTGCGCTCTTTGGGCGGTCAGCAGCAGCAGCAGCAGCAGCAGCAGCAGCCATCGTGGCAACAGCAACAACATGTGGCGATGCCGCATCTTCCTCACCCGTCCAACCTCCCTGCTGCTCCAGCAGCTGCCGGCGGGTCCTACTTTGGAGGCACCGTAGTTGGCAGCTCACCAACCAGCTCCCCCATCCTTGCACCGGCTCAAAGCTCAGGCAATATGGCCGCCCCTTCTGGTGTCGTTCGTCGAGTTTCGCAAAGACAAACCGGCAGAACGTCGGCCAGGCCACCATCTTCGTCGTCTTGGTGCGACACTCCCGGCAGCCAGGCGAGTCATTTGAGCAATCAAAGTCACGCGAGCTACCTCAGCAGCACAAGCGCTGCGCCCAGCCTGAGCCTGAGCCTGAGCACCAATAATGGCAGCAACGGCAGCCTGCACGCTAGCTTCTCAGGAGAGGTACCTCTGTGCACGCCCCCTCACTCAGCATTCTTCAACAACGCGCCTGGACATCCCGCAGCGCCTCTACTGCCCGTGCCCCAGCGATCCGAGGCGATGTTTCAGCGCGTTGCTGATCGTCTGCAACTGGACGTCGCAGATGTCAAGTCTGCAGTGTTGCAGCAAGATGCTCGCAATCAGGCCGGAAGTCGCGATGCTCGTCCGCCAGCTACACATCACCGATTGGATCGTGATACCCTGCGACTCATCCTCGAGACAGTGAGAGCGGAAGACGAGGTGAGTTTGTGGCGCACTTGCTAAGCGTATACGCCGAGTCATTAACGCTTGCTCTTACTGCGCCATCTTCTTTCGACGATCAAGCAGCGTCTTGCGAAGCTGGCCTCCTTCCGGACCGAGTACCTTCGAGCGGAGAGCCTGCGAATGCAAGTGGAGCTTGAGCAGCACAGACAGGCACATGTTCGAGATCTTGAACATCCTGCAGCAGGCCACACTCACGGCGCTGTGCCCGGTACGCCACCTCCCCCCTACGAGATTTCGGAGAATCAGCGCACTCATGCCTATCCTCGCCAGGTACCACCTGCCTTGCCTTCGCGTGCGCATCGTTCTATGGATGACTACACCACGGGCCCGCCTCTTCTGCCGCCTTTGCAGACATCATCGCAGCCTCAAAACAGCGCTTTGAATCGGCCGAGACACTCTGTGCCGTTTCATGCTGCCGCAACTCATCATTCGGAGAGGATTTTGGCTCCTCTGCCGCATCAAGCACCGCCTGCATTGATGCGTCGCCGGGACACCTCGGCATCCTTGCCTCACGACGTCTTTGGCAACCCTTTCGCAAGCTTGCCACGCTCTCCAGACCTCTTCTTCCCAAGTCCCTCAACGCACGCCGATTCGATCGCATCCGAATCGCGCCGCGGCAGCGTGGACTCCAACATGAGCGGCGTGGGCAGTAAGCGCCGGCACGACGAGTCTGAAAGCATTCCTACGCACGAGCACGGTGCCGAGTGGCTGCCCAGGCAAGGCGACGGGCTCGCAGCTTCTGTCGCGGCACGCCTGGCCCCGCCACGCACCTCGAGTCTCGCTGATGCTACCGCGAGAATGGACATTCGAGACACCAACCCGGCAGGCTCCTCTCGCAGAACGAATGGCAGCATTAGGCCCCGGGGCAAAGCCTCTCGGCCCAGCAGCAGCGAAAGCAATGCTAATTCTAGCACAGGTAGCCTGGATCACGAAGAGGTCATGGCGCGATTGCGCAGCAAGGTGGCAGCTAGGCTTGCTGCCAAGCAGCAGCATGGCTCGGCAAGCACTGGGCTAGGCCTAGTCGACGCAATGCCACTCCAATCCACACCCGCCCATCGCCGCAGCAGCAGAGGCCGCACGAATCGCCCAGAGAGCGCTGGCAACGCTCCTAGACGGCGAAGCGTCGAAAGCCGAAGCGCGTCACGTCCGCGCAAGGTTGCGAGCATGAGCCACCTCCAAAGGTGCGACGAGGCGCCTTCTCGCAGTCCATCTGACGAAGAGCAACAGCAGACTCCCATAGCCACAAAGCAGACAGGTAGACCTTTTGACTCCCCCAATGTTAGTGGGAGCACTGGCATTGAAGCTTTGCTAAACGCTGCAGCTATACGCGAGACGAATGCGGCCGCCACAATCTCCTCCTTAGCAGACCCTTCAAGCGCGATTGCACCCATTAGCGAAAATGCCATCACCCCGCCTTCCCTCCGTACCGCTGCCTGACCCTTGAAGACAAATCTGTATCCTAGTATTCCCATTCCCAGATTCTAGAACGTCGGTCACTTTCTGCACTTGCAGACGCGCATGTGCGCATACCCCCAAATCAGCTCTTCGCGTCCCCGAATCGCAAAACGAATGCAGGCGGATCAGAACAGAGCCTTGGCAATGGGCAATGTCGATTTAAGATGCTTGCCTGACGCGTGGACATGGCGACGACCAGCTTGGTGAGCTGACGTGGTGCGAACGCGCTGCCTTCGTGGGGTTTGTGTGTGTGTGTGTGTGTGTGTGTGTGTGTGTGTGTGTGTGTGAGATCCCAGCCGTGGAAATGAGAATGAGGAGACTTTTATCCTTGATGTGCTAAGCGCCCACACGCTTGGCGAGGCAGCGGCTCTTTCGCGCCTCTCTCTATCTTGTTTACTTGAAAGCCATCGCCAAATCCGACGGGAACCTCTTCAGGGCCAGAGGAGCGTCTCCACGTCAGCGTGCCGTGCGTGAGCACGTCATGCGGTGCCGGTCACCTTGGCAGCCGTGTGCGCAGGTGCTAAACGTTTTGCGTTGACGGAAATGAGCTGATGGGGCAAGCAAAAGTCAGCCAAGGTGCTCAGTAAAGAATTTTGACTTTCAAAGGGACGAGACGACAGAAAGAGAGTCACCACTTGCCCAAGTCCCTTTTTTGAGGCCATGGCGTCGGACGTGTGCACCACAAATGCGCTTTTGTGCTGGAAACTCTGGGGGGCGCGCGCTGCTGCGTGCACATCGACTCACGTGGTAGAAAACGATGAGGACCATGGTCAGACTACCGAGCCAGTTGGCCAGCGCTGCGAGCGTCACATCTGAAATCATGTCTGCTGCCGCGCGCTCCTCGCAACCTCTCGCGCTGCTCGTACTGCTACAATGCCCCAGACCTGATCCTTTTCGTGGGGAGGAGCGGAGTCACCTGTTGATAGTTGAGACTGTGGCGCGAAGTGCGGAGCGTTCTTCTTTGCTTGCCCTTGAATGCGGCAGAGGGGTGAAGGTCAAGAAGAAGCTTGGCGCGGATACGCGTACTCCAAGCATGTCCGACATAGTCGTGAGTCGTGAGTGCTGCTGCTTTGGAAAGCGTGCTCACCGTGGGAGCCACGTTCACGTGACTGATAAGCAGCGCATCCGCACGAGAGGGCTGACGCACGGACCTCCGCGGCTCGTGCAAGCGCGCTTGGCGCTTATTGCTGCTGAGTGCGCACGCGTGTGGCTGAACCGCTGGCTGGCTGGCTGGCTGGCTGGCTGGGCTTGGGATGGTGCACGAGGTGTTGATGTGTGCTGGTATACTTGTGCGTCAAGGAGAGCAGAGCAGCATAATAGTCACGAGTCACGAGTTGACGTGAGTTGCGTTGCGTGCGTGCTGATGGCGAGGGTGGGCGCTCTGCTCTGCGTGTGTGGCCCCCATATGACCGAGGAGGCAAGCAGCGGCGGGGTATGCAGGAGCGGCGATGAGGAGGCGAAGAGGCATGCTGGGCGGCGCGGGTTGCATTGCACGCGCGCCATGTCTGCGGCTCACGGCGACACAATGCGCACTCGCAGACAGACTCCAACTCCAACTCACACTCAGACTATTGAGATGGCTTGTACGCACATGTGACTTGGGGCGATGACCATCCAGCCAACCAAAATAAAGAATCTCGACATCTTGAATTCACATTGTGAATGCTGCGCAGCCCTCCTCTTCCAGAAGAGACTCACGACTGCTGCTGCTCTTACGCTCACTCTCACATCACCTCTGTCACCAGCACACGCGCCACGGCGATTGTGCCCACTCACTTCTTCGGCAGAAAAGGTCCGTATTGTCGCTACCAGTCAGCTCAGCGCAACTCCCCTTTGCGCCCACACCACACTCTCACCTATCAACGATAGCCAGCATCAGTCCAGGTGACGCAGATCACGATGGCGGACAAGGTCAGCGAGGATGAGCTCAAGCCTACCCGTGCGTAGCAGGGACGTGCAGCTCTGCCTCTCCCTTGCCGGCTCTGAGGCTGACATCAGCTGCTTTGCCTTTTCTTCCCCCTTCTCCCTACATGACTGCGCAGAGACTGAGGGCTACAAGGCTGGAGAGAAAAAGTCGCTAGCAGAGTACGCTCAGCTGGACGCAGAGGATGAGAGCCTGGCTCGCTGGAAAGCTAGTCTAGGCATCGTTCCCGGTGCTTCTGGTGGAGCTGCTACTGGACCAAAGGTGCGTGTCATGCGTGACAGGAGCGGTACAGCAGGGTAGTGAGGTGCAGGCGGATAGCGTCTTGGAGCTAGAGTGGCCAGCCCGGGACCGGCTACTTTGCGGAGCAGCGCTGAGGAAAAGATGCTCGCACCAGCGCTGCCACGATGCTGACCGATCCAGGCTCTTGACCCAACGCAGCTCAAGTTGCACTCCCTTTCGCTCGTCTCTGCTACGGCGCCAAACGGAGCTGTCACCTTGGACTTGGAGAGTGGTAACGCAGACGCTATCAAGAAGGACACCTTGACAATCAAAGAAGGCGTCGAGTATCACGTCAGCTTCAAGTTCACGTGAGTAGCATGTAGTCTCGCGTGTCCTCACGACTCCAGAGCTGGGCCGCTCACGATGTCATTGCTTCTCTTCTTTTCCTGCAGCGTAGGTCAAGAAGTGCTGTCCGGCTTGCGTTTCATCCAAGTCGTCAAGCGTGGAGGCATTCCAGGTGCGCCTTCGACGAGCCTCGTCATGCGTCCATGTGCTGATTGGTTCGCTATCCCTCTACAGTCGACAAGACGGAAGCGATGATTGGATCCTTTTCACCACGTGGCGAGCCTTACATCAAGCATCTAGAGACGGAAGAAGCTCCTTCGGGCATGCTCGCACGAGCCACCTACAGCGTGCGAAGCAGACTGATCGACGATGACAACCAGACGCTTTGGGATCAGAGCTGGAGCTTCAAGATTGCCAAGGATTGGGCCGCATAGTCGCGCTCCACCCTCCATTTCAGCATCGCATATCGAAGTCTCGCCGTTTGAAGAAACATCCGACCGCCTTTTGCATCTAATCGCCCTCATCCTCATCCCCTTCCGCGCCCTTTCACTCCCGCACATGACCCGCTGAGGAGGCTGCGCACGACTTTGTGCAGTATGCGACAAACTTTACCATGGCTCCTTCTTCATGTTCAAGGCTGTTGGACTTGAACACTCAAGGAATGGGGCAATGTCGTACATTTCTAGCTCGCCCGACTGCAGCGAGACGGACAAGGCCGAATGCTTGCGTCTGACGCGAGCCAGGTGGGCTTTGAATTGGCCTGCGGACACTCATTCGCTATCCGCCCTCTTCAGGCGCCGGTGCAGCCGAGCATGGCGATGTGAAGATGCACCGAGCGCGCAGCTGGCCCAGAGTGCATTTTGTTTCGAAGGAGATCTCGGATGATGCCTTCTTTGCCGCAAAGGGTGAGAAGAGCAGTCTTGTTGTGATTTGCTCCGATTCCACAGAGCGGCGCAGGATGCGAGGAGCTAGCAACGCTCGAGAAAATTAGCTGCCCTTCAACTCGTCTCGTACGTCTTCATCGGAGCCCCTTGCTTACGGCCTCGCAATGCGACGCGGCCGCAAGCGAACAGGTCTGCGATGTGCACTCGGTCAGCGGCATCGCTTGATCAAGCGGACCATGCTCAATGTGCGACCGCCCTCCAAGCGAGCGCTGAACGACGACTTGGCGTCGGCTTGACAAGGCGGGATGAGGCTGATTGAAGCTCTAGGCAGCAAAGTCTTCCCTCGGCCTCCTTTGCACGATCGTCAGACGAGGGGCGGATGACATGTTCAAGACATCGAAAGTCTTGATGAGTGTCTCTCTCCCCTCTTGTGTCGAGGCGCGCGCGGCAGAGCCAACAATGAGCACGTGATCAGGTTTACGCTCGAATGTGGCCCATGCATATGCAGGACCGCGCGCGCGCGCGCATGGACGCCAGCAGCGCTCGTCGGCATTCAGCCGGATTTTAAAGCTCGAGTCCGGGTTGGGTTGCGTTTCCTCCGAAGGGAGCACGCGCTCTCCGGAAATACCAATTGTGAGTCGAGTTGCTTCGCGCACATGATTGCTGTGTATGCCGGGGATTGCGCACATCAGCAGCAGCGCGACGTTTCGGGGATTGCAATTCAGTCATCGTGGCTGGTGGGTGGTTGGTAGGTGCGGCGAAGGGTATAAGATGGCGCAAATGTCACACTCGCGGTTCGACGTCTCTTCTCCGCATATCCACACTCGCGGTGCTACGTCTCTCCTCCGCTTATCAACCCCATCTGTAGAAGGAACATTGGACGCCCGACTCGCACAGGCGCAGGCCAAGCTCAAAGACTCTTACCTCTTTGCTTCTTCTTTCTGCACTCCTCACACCCACCCATGTCCCACTCGAAGCAAAAATTTGCGCGAGGCCAGCAAGCTCCCAAGTTGGATGCTGATGCTGGTCTAGCGCTCACCGCTGGTCACTTTGATCAAGCTGTAGAAGGCTGGGCACCCATCGGTACGTTGCCAGACGATGTGCTTCCGGAAGGGCAAGCTCGACCCAAGCTGTTCGACAGTCTGGTCGAGCTCAATCATTCCGGTGGTCTAGCGCTCAAGAACAGGGTGGTGGTGTCGCCCATGTGTCAGTATGTCGCCAAGGATGGCTTCCCAAGCGTCTACCATCTCGGCCACCACGCTTCCTGGGCCCTGCACGGCGTCGGCACCATCATGTTCGAGACCACTGGCGTCACTCCAGCTGGCAGGATCAGTACGCACGGTGAGCATCTCATCTCTACTCATCTCTCGCGCACGCGTTCAGCCAACGCAGATGGCTGATGGTCCAATTTGCGCTTCGCGCCATGTTCGTCGCTTTCTTGCATGCATGCAGATCTGGGTCTTTGGAAGGATGAGCAGATTCCAGCGTTCATCTCCCTCGTATCATCCCTGCGCACCCTCTCGCCCGGTCTGACAGTGGGCGTGCAGCTGGGCCATGCAGGCAGAAAATCCTCCACATTTCCGCCTTTTCAGCGTCGCCCACGCAAGCACGAGCAGTGGGCGGAAGAGGAGGAAGGCGGTTGGCCAGAGGAGATTGTCGCTCCCAGCGCTGTCCCTTACGGACCCAACTGGTTCAAACCTCGCGAGCTGAGCATCGGCGAGATCGAGAACATAAAGCAACAATTCATCCAAGCTGCAGAGAGAGCCTACGACAAGGTCGGTGTCGATTTCATCGAGATTCACCTGGCTCACGGCTACCTCGGAGTGAGTTGGGGGATGAAGAGTGGCCGCAAAGATGGCGTAGCTTGCCTTGCGCACTGACAATTGTCCCATCTTTTTGCATTCCCTTCAGCACCAATTCCTCTCGCCGCTGTCCAACAAGCGCACAGACCAGTATGGCGGTTCCTTTGAGGGTCGCATAAAGTTTCCCTTGGACATCATCAAGGCCATCCGAGCCAGGTGGCCAGAACGCTCGCTTTGGGTGCGAATCTCTGCTACGGATCAATGTGATCACTTGGCTGCCCAGGGTACAGAGGTGTGGGACTTGGAGCAGACCAAGAAGCTCGCAGAAATCCTGGATCGAGAGGGTGTGGCTGTGCTGGATGTCAGCTCCGGCGGTCTAGTGGCCGAGCAACAGATCCAAGTGAGCTAGCTAGCTCGCTCTCCCGCAACCTTGTTGCGCCCGTCATTATTTTGCTGGAACTGACTTGCGCATCATCTGCCACGCACCGACAGGTCGGGCACGCCTACCAAGCGCCATTGGCCGCCGGCATCAAATCGCTGAAGTTGCCCTCGATGAAGGTCATGTCCGTCGGCATGCTCGAGTCGGGACCGAACGACAAGGCAGGAGAGGTGGCCGAAGCGACGCTTCAAAATGGTCATGCAGATCTCATTGCTATCGCGAGAGGTCAGATGGCATCGCCCAATTGGACCGAATTGGCTGCTGCCAACCTGGCCGGCGTGCGAACGGTCGAGAACCCGAGCTACCATAGAGTGAGCATGGCGCATCGATTAGGGGGAGGCGTTGTGGATGCGCTAGCTAAGACACAGTGTCCCCCTCTTTCCTCTTCATCTAGATTCACGGCCCAAAGCGCACTCCGCACTGAGACTGCTGATCTTTGCTGCTGTGTTCGCTGGGTGCAAGTCGAGACAATGGTTCATCCACTGCTCAACTTCAGCTTGGGATCAGCGTATAGCGATGAGGGCTGTCCTCCAGCCTTTTCCAGCAATGCATAGCCCTCGTACCGGCTCTTCTTGCCTCCAGCAAAGGTAGGGGCGATGTTGGCGTAGTTGATGTGCGGGCTCAATTGTTTGCTCTTCCGCGCGACGTCGTCGAGGTGTTTCGCATATCCTCTTGGATCCTTGACCATTTTCGCGCGCATCTTTGGACTGTGCAGATGCAGCTTGAAGATTTTGAATTTTGTCGGCATCATCAGGCCCCTTTTGTGCGGTTGGCGAGAGGCGTCGATGGCCTGGGACGAGAATCTCGGCTGTTCTCCACGTCGCGCATCAGGGTTTGTTTGCGAGATTGGCTGTGGACGTTGCGGAGTTGCACGCTCATGCAGAGTACGAGCGGAAGCGCGAAGGGAGCTAATGAAGGTGCGCTTTGTTCATCAAGGGATCGCTTGACGTACTCATCCACCTTGAACTGCGAATACTCACATGGATAGCCACGCGCAAGCAAGGGCGACAAAGGCAAAAGTCTTGGCCATATTGAGCCTGATACACTCGACTCTTGACCAGCACGAGCGTATCGATTGTGCACTCAAGACGATCACGTGATCAGCTAGATGCTTGCAACTTGACAGCCGGTGAGCATTCGAGCCGCGCGCGCAGCAAAAGTCGGTCACTCTGGAGTCCTCCGCAGGAGTTTCGTACTCTACCGCGCAACCAGCCAAGTGAGCTCGCACCTGCGCTCAAAGGAGATATTCTAGAAAGGTGGCCAGCACCACTAGACCATCCGGCCCAAGCACAAAATAGGATAAAAAACACCGGTACTTAAGTCAAGTCGAGTCTTCGTAGCGCACTGTGAGCTGTGCAAAGACAAAGGACTTGAAATGGAGAAGAATGTGCTGGTGAGGGACACTAGTCGTGAGTCTTGAGTGATTGTGCTGCTTGGTGTCGAAGGATGATGTGGTCAAGCCGGACGCTCATGCATCCATGCGACTTCATGTTCAAGCATTCTCGACCCTCTCTCTCCGTTCTTCCTTGCGCAAGGGATCGCATACAGCGGTGCGCATCGAAGTTGGACCCCCCGGCCCTTTTTCCCTGCTGCTCGTGCCATGATGAAGGAGTTGCGCCTCAGGTAAATCGTGTTCCTTAATTGCCCGCGGCATTCTGGACATCCGCGGGTCTCGCTCGCTCGCCCTTTGCGTGGGCGTGAATGCGCCAATCGGAGGCGGCTGCGGCGAAACAATAAGGAGCAGTCGAGGCCGAATCACTCAATGGCATGACGATTGCGTACCCTCGCTCGCTGGTGTGCCTGGGCCAAGTGGAACAGAAGGCGAGGCGGCCTGTGAAGCATGGTTGAGGCAGCAGGCAACAGCATGTGTAGGTTCAATGTGAATGTCTGAAAGGATTGCATGGTGCGCGGGCGAGTGACGCAGCAGCAATCGACGCCCAATCTCGACTGCGTGCGCCGTGTCGAGACATTCGATTCTTACAGCCAATTGACGGCGCTATATACGTTGCAGGGTGCCGCGCGTGCACGCCAAGGCTGACACAGCCGCAGCCACTCCCCTTAATTGGCGTCATTCACTTGATTCGTGATGGACCGACCGCATACATCAATTGAGGTTCATGACTCGCTTAGGCTGTGCGTGACGCCTCGGCGGATGCTGCTCGCGATGATGATGATGATGATGATGATGATGATGATGATGAGGCAGCGCACGTCTCTTGCTGAGTCTGATTGCGCCGCTGCCACCGGCGCTGCATGGCCTGATGTGAGAGCAAGGATGCTGTTAGAGGAGAGTCAGAGTGTGAGACGTATTTGCATGTTGCTGCCGCTAAAATATGAAATCCAAATCCATATCCATATCCAAATCCAAATCCCTGCTTAATTGAATCGCCCGTGTGTGTAAAAGCTATAGCCGCCTCACCGCGGTAGATGTGTTCACTGACAAGGCATATGCAGATGCCGCTATGTATGAGGTACGGCCATGCACTCACACTCTCCGCTCTGCTTGAACGCATCTTGAATGAAGCGAACAGCAGGGCCTGGGCGGGGCATTTGCGCTCGACAGCAATCGTGGAATCAGGACCCGCAGTTGTCCGCTCGCATACTCACGACTGACTCGTGCTGATTGATGCGATGCGGTGCGTGTACAATCAGCAGCGGGAGGGCGCTGTGCGTACTATACATGCGCATACGCCAAACATGTGCGCAGGCTCGATATGCTGTACGCTGCGGCTCGCGAACGCAACGATCGACGCTTTGCACCTACCTACCTCACCTTTGAGGCATGGCAGCCATCTTACTCGTCACTCGCGACTGTCACTTTAATTGTCAATCAGGAACGGCGCCGCGGTCCCCCGTCACGTCATCGACAGCATGTGATTCGCCGTGTCAACAAAGGCTCGCTGTTTAGGCATTCCCTAGTCACGGTCACGAGTCGGTGAGTGAGTGTGAAGTCCCTCCCCTCTCTCCATGCCTTCACGATTCGTGATTGGCATGCTACCGGTACCGGTACCGTACGTACATCATCACGCGCATCGCAAGCACCCACCGAGCGTGGCGCAACTACGCGCCGCGCGCGGCTTTGCTCGGCGTCATGCATACGCGTACCTCTCCGAATCGCTGTGCCATGGCTGTATAGCGACTCGTGACTGCCATCCACAAATTCACGACTCGCGACTGCTGCATGCCTGCCTGCCTGCCTGCCTGCCTGCCCACAGAAATTCTTGACGTTTGTAGCGAGCGGTACGACTTTATTGTGCACGGATCGCTGAATTGCACAAAGACCGAGCTTCGAACAGCAGGCAGACAAGGCTTACTCGGTGTTAAGATGCAGGGCCGGGGTGACATTCCGCGCAGCTCCATGCTGATGACTGCTGGGATCCGAACATTCATTCTTGATTCCATGCCTCGGATTTCACAGCTTCCGAACAGAAAGCTTGTGGTACAGGTACAGGTACACGGACATAAGGAATCACCGGTACCAATGCAGTGAGCGAGCGATTGACACTTCGTCCATCACGCCACACAAGCGGTGTTTGAAGGACGGGCGGACTTGCGTGCAGCGGTGACGTGCTCGCTCCTAATCGCTACTTCGGCGTTTTGCGTTTCCGTGGTACGCGGCTATAAATAGCTATCCTTTTCTTTCTCGTCTGCCTCAATTTGCCTCTCTTCAACCATCACATTTGATCACACAAGCATCGAGCGCAAAGATATATACGCACACGCACACACTTGTCACACGCACCTCTCTTCAAACTTCGACATGGCCTCCACAACCTCGGCCGCAACGCACGCGCCCCTGCTGGCAGCAATCCAAGCTAGACGTTCCATCTACGCCCAAGGCAAGCGTCAAATCCTCACCGACGAAGCAGTCACCAGTCTGGTCAAAGCCATCGTCAAGGACAGTCCCTCTGCTTTCAACAGTCAATCCAGCAGAGTGGCCATCCTGTTCGGCAAGCAACACGAAAAGTACTGGAATGAGTATGCACCAGAGATTTATGGCAAGGTTGCTGGACCCGAAGGTGAGTTCTCGGGGGAGAGGGTTGGTTGGGGTCAAATCTATGAAGAGGGGAGGGGGGGGCTTCTTCCCCATTCCTTTACACTTGCACGCTCGACTCGGCAAAGTTTGAGGGAAGCTAACGGACCTTGCCGCGCATCGAAAATTGCTCGCAGCTCTTGCAAAACAACAAAAGCGTCTCGAAGCGTTTGCCGTGAGTGTCAGGGCTCTGCGACGACGATCAACACGATGGATCCGTGATGAACTGATCTTTCTACCCAATGCGCAATGCGCATTGACACTTTGACTGCACGCAGGGCGCAACCGGCACGGTCCTCTTCTTCGAAGACGATGCGAGTCTAGAAGCCTCGGCCAAACGCAATCCAGGCGTGGCTTCCCAATTCAGCCCTGTGAGTTGAATTTGCTCGATCAGTCCCGTTTCCCTTTCCGCTCGCTTTCCCGCCCCCTCTCCTTGCTCACATCGGCGATTTCTTGTCCCCCCCTGCTCCCTTTTCTCCGCTTCTAGTGGTCTCTACAATCTAGCGGCATTGCGCAAGGCAACGTCTGGAACGCTTTGACTGCAGCAGGATACGGTGCAAATCTGCAGCACGTCATCCCTTCCACCTCTCCCTTGGCAGCCGCCGAGCTGCTCAAACTTCCAGCAACGTGGAGAATTCATGCGGAGCTCGTTTTTGGCTCGTGAGTCTCATGTTTCCTGTGCTGTCCACGCGCGCGCTCGATGATGGAGCTTACAAAGATTTGACATTCCATCGTGCTCAATCTCTTTCC